GGACGTAGGGGCGAAGTAGGCTGACGTGGAACGAGGAGCTGACGTACCAGTCAGCAGGGAGGAGGAGGTGAGCGGTGACGGGTGTTATCATGTGGGTTATGCGAAATGGCCCGAAGTATCGGGGGCGGAGTTTTGGGGTGATGGGCAGTCGGACATTTTGGGTGTCGAGTAAAACTAAGTCGTCGGGCTGGTAAGTGACAGGTCTGCGGTGGCGGTCGGCGTTGCGTTTAGCGATGATGTTTGATTTTTTAATTGCGTCTGCTGCCCTGGTCCGTGCTGCTTGCAAAATTTCGGCGAAATGTTGCGCGCGTGGAACCGGGTTGTCGGGATTCGGGGTCATGGGTACTGTTGGGTCTTGTCCGTAATTCAGGTAAAACGATGAGTGTTGGGTCGTGGCGGATGGGGCGTTGTTGTATGCGAATTCGATGAGTGGCAGTTGCTGTTCCCACGTGTTTGGGTCGTCGCACGTAGCCCGGATGAGCTGTTCCATGCTCTCATTTGTCCGTTTTGTCTGTCCGTCTGTTTCGGGATGGTACGATGAACTAAACTGTAGTCGTGTGCCGAACTGCTGCCACAGGTTTCGCCAGAAGTTGCTGGTGAATTTCGTGTCTCTGTCGCTGATGATAGATGCTGGTATCCCGTGTAGTCGAACGACGGTAGAGATGAAGAGGCAGGCTGTTTCTTCGGCTGTGATTGATTTTTTGCAGGCTGTGAAGTGTGCCATTTTCGTCAGTCGATCGACGACGACCAGGATCGCGTCATTTCCACCCGCCCCGGCCGGTAACCCCGTGACGAAGTCCATCGTCACCTGCTGCCAAGCACGCTCTGGAGGTGGGATTGGCTGCAACTGTCCCGCCAGCCGCTTCCGTGTTGACTTCATGATCTGGCAAGTGGGACACGATGCCACGTGACGCTGTACGTCGGTCAACACTTCGGGCCAGTTCTAATACCGCTGCAGCTGCTGCCGTGTTTTCTCTACCCCGAAATGTCCCGAGGTAACCCCGTCATGTGCCTCCTAAAGTAGTAATTCCCGTAGCAGTGTGTACCCTGGTACCCAGATGCGCTCGGTCCCGGCTTTTACGTAATAGACTCCCTTGGCTGCTGCGAACTGCTGCGAATTTCCTCCTGTGAAGAATGGGTCCGTTTGATATCCGTGGGTAAATAGTCCTGTCAGTAGCGGGCTGGTCTGGGCGAGTAGTATCGCGTGGATCTGGGCAGTGGGGCGCGTCAGTGCGTCGGTGATGTTCGAGGCTCCTTTTTTATAGGTGATTGTGTAGTGGAAGTTTGACTCGAGGAAATCGAGCCACCGAATCTGTCGTGGGTTGAGGTGGGGCTATGCACGGAGGTACTGTAGTGATCGGTGGTCTGTCCGTACTGTCACGTCTGCGCCGGTCAAGTAGCAGCGCCACACTTTGAACGCATGCACGATCGCGAGCATTTCGCGGTCGTGTATCGGGTAATTTCGCTCGGGCGGATGCAGTTTTTGTGACTCGTATGCGATGGGCTGTAGGCCGTTGCCGAAGTCCTGTGGCAGTACGGCTCCAATGGCGATGTCGCTTGCGTCTGTAACAACCTCGAAGGGGCGGTGTGGGTCGGCGATGCGCAGGACGGGCGGTGAACAGAGAACATTTTTCAGGGCAGAGAAGGCAGCATGCTCTTTCTCCCCCCACGTAAAAACGACCCCCTTTCGCAGTAAATCCGTCAGCGGGGCGGTCAATTGTGCCATGTCGGGAACGAACCGACGAACATAATTAACGAACCCTAAAAAACTCTGCAGTTCCGTGATGTTCGTCGGGGGACGCCACGCTTTTACCGTATCCAGCTTCTTTGGGTCGATTTCAACTCCAGCCTCCGAAATAACGTGCCCCAAAAATTCTAGCCTGTCCCGAAAAAACTCGCACTTAGAGCCCTTGGTGAGTAGCCGATGTTCCTCAAAAACTTTAAATACTGCTTCGAGATCCGCTAAGTGCTGCTGCTTGTCGCGACTGTAGACGAGGATGTCGTCGAGGTAAACTATCACGCATTTATCTAAGAGTGGCCTAAACGCCTCGTTCATGGTCATCTAAAATGTTGCGGGCGCGTTGGTCAGCCCGAAAGGCATCACCGTGTACTCAAACGACCCGTACCTAGTCCTAAATGCTGTCTTCGCGCAGTCCAATGGTTCGACCCGAATCTGATGGTAACCCCCCCGTAAGTCTATTTTCGAAAACACCCGTGCTGTTCGCAGTCGGTCGATTAGTTCGTCGGCGCAGGGAATGGGGTACCGCGACTTGACTGTTACCCTGTTGAGCGCTCGGTAATCGATGCACATGCGAAACCCTCCGTCTTTTTTCGGTGTGAACAGTATTGGTGCGGCGAACGGTGACGAACTTGGTCGAATGAACTGCTTCTCTAACAAATAATCTAACTGCTTCCTTAGTTCGTCGAGCTCGGGCTGTGTCAGTAAGAACTGGCGCTGTACAGTTGGTTGTGCCCCCGGTTCTAACTCGATCCTATGATCATGCGCCCGCAGCGGCGACAACCCGTTTTATCGTGATGGCGTTGACGTGGACCGCTGAAGACTCGGGCGACTGCCAGCGAGGTAGCTCGACCCAGTTACCTCTACTTCGCACGGTGCAGCTACCCGTCGTCCAGTCAATTCGCGGGTTATACCGTCGCAGCCAATCACGTCCCAGTAAAATATCGTGCCCATCCAGTGTCGTTGCGAGCATTTCCTGTGTAAATCCGAAATTTCCCCCGCAGCGGACTTTGACTCGCTCTACCTTTTCCCGTATGGCTAGTGGCGTGCCGTCGACTAAGCGTGCGTCTATCTCCGGTAAGCAACGGCTAAGTGTCAGCTGTAGTTTTCGTGCGGTTGCGGTATTAACTAGACTGTGGCTTGCTCCTCCGTCGATAAAAACCTTCACTGTTGCTCCCTGTATTTTCCCGTGGATCAGTACTGGGCAATCCGTCGCTGTACCCTCCATATTCATCCGAACCCAATCGATGGCGTGAATTGGTACTGTGACTCGGTGAGGGTCGTTGTGGTTGGGCGAGCAGGCAGTCTCGTCAGTAGTTGGCCCAACTTCTACTAACTGCTGGCGTTTCCCTGCCTCCGAGACTCCCCCCCCTGCTCTGCTCCGCGGCGCCTTAGCTCCTCTGGGCATTCGCTCTTGCGATGGCCTGGCCTGTTGCAAGCAAAGCAGCGCCCCTTAAACGGTGCGGCAGCTGCATTCGTTGCAACAGCGTTTACAGTGGTGTGCTCGATCGGTCCCTGAGGACGATGTCCGTAGTAGGACCCCGGTCTCAGTCGACGTAGAATGTCGATTTTCTCGGCGAGCGCGAGAATCTCGTTGAAGTTCGAGAGTCCGCGCAGAATGATTTCGTGCGAGATATCCGGCCTCAGCCATCCGACGTAACGGTCCACCCGCTCTGCTGCATGCATGTAGCCGACCTGCTCGCAAAGTGTGAGAAAACCGCTCGTGTAATCTTGAACCGGCCCGAGCTGTCGCCAAGTGCGCAATCTCTGACGCGCTGAAATAGAAGCCGCGATCGGCTCGAAGCACGCCCGAAGCCCTGCGCACCACGCATCCCACGTGCTGTATTGGACGGTCTCGCAGAATGAACTCCAGGTGACAGCTGGACCCGTGGGCCCTTCCTCTTGCGACGGTGGCTCGTAGGCGCGTGGCGACATCACGATGACTCGCCACCAGTCCATGGCGGGGCCCCTTAACAGTGAAACGGCATACCGAATCTTTGCTGCGTCCGACTCGACGTAATTCGCGTCGAAGAAGACGTTCATCGTGAAAACCCACGATTGAACCGTCGGACCTCCACGTTGGCTTGGGTCGAAGCAGGGAGGGCGTTGCGGCTTGAGTGGCATGGGTGTCATAATGGTCTGTTCTCCACTTGTCGACGCAAACTCCACGTGCGGACGGGCTTCACGAGGCTCCCGCGGGCTTGGTGCGACCCTGTTTCCTCCCATGCCGGGCATCGGCTGGGCGGCGCCATCACTGGCTGCGCCTGAGCGCTGTCCCACGCTGTCGTGCTGCGTTGGTGTGCCGGACCAAATGACAATCGGCTCGTCCGATTGTGCAGATGCATTTGTCGGTGCGTGTGATGGCGCTGGAATGTTCACCGTGGATTGCTGACGTGCCGAGTCACGTTCCGCCGTGAGCGTCGCAATTTCGAGCGCCGAATCTTCAAGTTGGCGCACCAGACGGTCAAGCTGCTCTTGCGTCAATGTGGCGAGCGTGAATTCGGCCATGGCGGGGGTGTCGGGCGAGCTCAGCGAGAGCCTCGGTCGTGGCCGTGCGTGCTTACCAGAGAGCATTACGAGCGGCGGTGCTGTGTCGCTGAGAGACGTCTACCCCCCCAAAAATTTTGAGATAGTGGGGAAGCGAATATGTGGGTGCGGTCCGAGAGGAGATCGTAGGCTCTGGATACCAAGTGTTACGAGTGCAATTGAGTGAACGAACGAGAATTGCACTATCGAAGCAAGAGTACAATGAGTGAAAGCATGAGCGAAGAATATATAGCGAAACTACAGTGGTAACGGTAATGGACAGTGGTTGTCGCGCGACGGGCCTGGGACTGAGGTTGGGAAAAGTGTCGAAGCGGAGGCCCGGAGCGCGGGTTACCCGCCGAGCCGTGAGGTCGGGGTGCGACGTGCGAAGGTGGCGGGCGGATTGTCGATGCGAGGATTGCGAGTGGTAACGGTGCTGACTGTGGTGCTACAGTGATGTATGCGCTGAGCAGGGACGCGAAGTAAGGAAAAATAGATTTTCCTTACAATTACCCATCATGCTCAAGATTTTCCTAAATATAGCCGACAATCTTCACGATGACTTCTTTCTGAAAAAGAAAGGAAATGAAGAAAGAAAGGGAGAAGGAAAATGAAACTGCAAAAAAGAACCCAAATGCAACACACATAAAATCCCCCCTCAAGATACCCAATCAAAACGCCCAGTCAAGACACCCCAAGACATCCCATCCCACACCCCATCCCCCCCCCTTTTCAATCACATCAGCGTATCGACCATGTACGGGGCCTCCACCCAGAGAGCCCCGCCTTCCACATCGACATCGTCCCTCTCTCGGTCCACCAAATCTACGTTAATCCCCCCCATGGAAGACGCCGCTCGAAGCAGGATGACACGGGCTTGCGCACGTTGTAACGCCACCCCGATGAGCGCCTTCAGTAACCCTAAAAGATAAGCCGAAAACATAGAGTCGTCCTCTCGACAAGCCCCCCGCGACACAGCTAGCCCCACGTGCGCATCCTCCTGCTGACGAAGCCACCGCTGAAAACGACCGCCGAGACACCCCCACGTCTCAACTATCAAAGGGGTGAACTGCACGCCCCGGTTGCGTGCAACCAGAGGCGCGTAATCACTCGTTTTGCGACGCTCCCACTCCCTTGCCGCCACACCTATTTGACGCCCGCACTGTCCCAGCAGTGATGGAGACAGCGATAGCGGGTCCGCGACGCTGATCTCTAGGGCGTGAGCCTCTCCAGCCATTGGACGTCGCACCGCCACATCAACCCGCTTCCTCTGCAGCACCACACTATCCTCCATTGTCACCACCCCCCCGACGCCTAGAGATCTTCGCCACCGCAAACTTCACCTCATCATGCACCCGAGATGGACCATGCTGGTGCCTGCATCTCAGGGCATGGTGCGGGTCTGCTGGGTCAACATACGTTGTGCCACAAACACACCTCCCCGCCACCTGCAGCTGCTGAATTGGGAGGCCGAGCCGTATAGCAGCAGCAATGCCCCACTCAGCCGCAGTGAATGTGAGATCTCAGTGAGCCGGAACCGCTGAAACCCAGTCCCTACAGGTGCTGGAGCAAACCTTTCCTCCAACACAGGGCGTTAGAGAAAACGTGTTGGAGGAATGAGCTGGCAAGCTGACCACGGGCAAAAAAAACTAAAACCCATTCGGACGGCATCCTGTTCGGGAGCCTCAACCCTAAAGTTTTAGGGTTTTGGCTCCCGAACGGCATGCCGTCCATGTGGGGTTTATTTTTTTCCTTGCCCGCGGTCAGCTTGCCAGCTCATTCGACTGCCAGCGGCCTTTCAGGCCAAAGGGGTGCGAGACTGTTCCAAGTGGTGAGTGGAGCTCTGTTTCCGATAAGAGCTCAAGGTTAGTGGATAGTGGCGGGGATAAATAAGCTGAATCTGCTGAAGGATTACCTACACTAGATGAGTGGACATTAAGACATTAGAATTCTTCCTGGATTCCCTTCCATTCCCATGTCATGGTTGGAGCAATAGTTTACCTTCACAGTTTAACAATTTTTTTTGCACCTATCCATTATTTCCCAAGACTATTAGTACAACACATTATCCTTCCTACCACCAACTACGGTATTCCCTATTCTAACAACTCATGAAAAAACACAGACAAAGAAAATGATTTATGCCAGCAAACACATAACATTTTCAATCCCTTGCCGTGCCTTCATGCCCGCGAGCACTATCAGCATCAAGCATCTCGAGGCATTTCTCCGTTGTCGATAGGCTAGGCATTCCGGTTGTCAGCAAGGGCGACGCCATGCATTGCAGAGGCTGCTGGTGTAATCCTGTACGCACAACGAGAATAATAATGAGTCAGGACATAGCAGGCACGACTTGGATAGTAGGAGAACATAGATTTCAGTCAGACAAGCACCATCCAAGCTCAGCTCAAAACCAGGATCTTCTCACCCAAAGCCGCCTCTGTCTCTGCATCTTCCATAAGGGCATCTAGATGATTCCCCATGTGTGCAGGCCGGTCTGCTTCCGTCTCACCCAATCCAGCACCTATCGACGCAAACCCCTCCTCTTCCATCGCCCTCCCTCCTCTCTCCATTCCCTTCTCGTCGCCCCTCACCATTCCTCCCACCAAATCACCGTAACACTGCAACTGGCCAACGATACAATTCTCCTGATCCTGCACAATACGGCCGCTCGGCACATGATAACTGCAGCTAGGGTCTTCAAAGCCACTTCTTGGCTGCCCAAAACCGCGAGTTGGCTCCTCATAACCCCGATCGCCAGGGAGCAGGGCCATGGCAGCAGCAGTCTGCCAGCTCCCTTCGAAACCCTCCTTCAAGTCTAACTTCGCAGCACCACTCACACTTGCCTCTGCTGCTCCTGCCTCTGCTGCCTTCTTTGCCTGCCCCTGTGCCCCACCCACACCTCCTCCTGTTTCACCCACACATTTCTGCGCCAAATCAGGCCTGGAACCTTCCTGCACACCTCCATTCCCACCAGCACCAGCACCAGCACCAGCACCTTCACCACCAGCAGCAGGAGCAGAGGCGGTGGCAGCGGCGGCAGAGGCGGCGATGGCAGCCACAGTAGCAGCAGCAATAGTGGCGGACCCAGCTGCTGCAGACGACCCGTCAGTATCAGGTGGGAGTGTGGGGGTCCTAGGTAGGGAAGGCACGGAGAGCAGCCTGAGAGGGCGGGGCGTGTGGCTGTGGGGAGAGGGGAGGTGGGGGTCCACCTGAAGTGGGTCTTGGGTAGGAGGGACGCTTTCTATCTGCTCACCTCCCTGCATGATACTCCCCTGAAAGCGATCAATGGAGCGAGTGAGAGGGAGTGAGTGTGAAAGGAGGAGCGACTGTGGGGAAGGGAGGGAGTGGGGCTGAGGACGCAGGTCTGGTCTGTGCTGGAGGAAACCGAAGGAGGAGGTGGGTGGAGGTGGGAACTGGGGTAGGACGTCCTGTGTTACGCTGGACATAGTAGGGAGAGCAGAGAGAGGGGCTCGCGAAGGGGTGATAGGGACGGTCACAGCAGGTGCGATGCAGGGGGTGATGGGGACAGCAGAGAGCGGGACAGGGTGCGTGGAGAGGGCGAGGACGGGCGCAGGAGTGGTGGGGGCGGCGAGGATGGATGGGCTGGCGACGGTGGGAGGCGCGGCGAGCACTGCTGGTGGCGCTTTTTGCTCCTTCAGCATCTGGTCAAACAAGCGGTTGCACAGATAAGACAATGAAAGAAAACAGGGTCAGATGAGTTGAATTGTGCATATCATGAAATGAACAGTGCCAGTAAAAAAAAAAAAGGTAGGTGGAGGGGAGGAGAGCAGAAGTTGATGGGCTGATGATCACAGTGCCAATGTTGAAAGAAGGCCAATCTCACCAGATGGCCGAATTCGGAGCGGAGAAAACTAATGGTATCTCCTGCTGTAAGGCCGTATTTGCGAATATAGTCTCCTGCATATTGTAACAGCAGATAGTAAGAGTTGTTCATGCTGCCTGTCGAACACCTTCCACACATGTAAGCGACAACAACTATAAGTCATCCTATCTCACCTGCGTGCTCCAGCACATACATCCTGCTCCGATTGTTGGGCCAAAACCTGCAGTGACAGCCGCACAGAGGAAGCGAGGCACAGAGTCAGTCAGGCCCATAAATCAGACCTGTAGCACCAGTTCCCACAACCTCATCCGTGCTCTCCAGACGCGAGAAGAACCAAGGAGGCATCTCAGTACCGTGAAGAGCACACACACCTGTAGCGAAAGCACCATTGGCCACCAATGGAGTCTTCAACGATGATGAGAATGCCCTCCTTGCTCTCCACGTGCGGCAGGAATCAATGCGACTTCTACCACGAACACCACATACCAGTACCACAAGCACCAACACTATCGAAGGAGCATACCTGTAGCGAAAGCACCACTGGCCGCCGATAGAGTCTTCAACAATGATGAGAATGCCCTCCTTGCTCTCCACGTGTGGCAGGAAGCGCTCTGCCGGCACCTTGGGCAGCACCACCCGCCCCAGGTGGCTCGTGTCGCTGGCTGTCAGCAGCTTCTCAAACAAGACGCCTATTGCCTTGCTCTGAGGGTGGGGCGAGGGGGGTAAGATGGCAGTAGGGAGGGAAGTGGGGAGGATAATGGGAGGGGAAGGAAGAGGAGTGTCAGGAAGCGCTCTGCCGGCACCTTGGGCAGCACGATCCTGCCCAGGTGGCTCGTGTCACTGGCCGTCAGCAGCTTCTCAAACAACACGCCTATTGACTTGCTCTGAGGTGGGCGATGGGGAAAAGGATGGAAAAGGCGTCTGAAGGAGAGTCCAGCAGCATGCGCAACATATTTATCTAACCCAGTTGAACCTGGCATTATAAAACAGTGAGCAACATTTGTCAACTTACGTAAGTGGAAATGCATACAATAAGATAGCCCCCATTACCTTGGAGCCATAGCCACGGAAGCCAGTGCCTGTGGATGGAGACAAATCCTGGTTGGACACGCCTTGCAGCTGCTTTGGCGTGCTGCCAGCAGACCCGCCCGACTTGGAGTCCACGTCAGCACCACCATCCACGTCAGCAGGCCCTGCAACGTCACCGGTGACCTCCATGCTGGCGATCCTACGTGGCATTGCCAGTGCCGTGCCCCTGCTGCCGCCACTGCCTCCGCTTCCCTCCCCTTCCGACCGGGTGAGAGACCCCCTGCGGGTTAGCGGCTCCAGACACAAGGCCCTGACTTCCCTGCATGTTAGGAAGCAAAGGCAGCCCGCAGCAAAATCATACCACAAACACAACACAAAAACGCCCACCAGACATGGTGTCAGTCAGACTCATCACTTCCAGGGGCACTGCCTCCCATCCATGCACGTGGCAAGGCTAGGGGTTCCGGAACAGGCAACGGTAAAGAAGAAACGGCTTTAGACTTGCCGCGCAGCCATACCTGCCTTCGGACTCGGTCAGTGAAGCCTGTGGTCGCAGCCTGCTGCCACCGATAACTCCCCCGCCACTGCTGCTGCCACTCACATTCCCATGCACCATCACCTGCCCCGGACTCATCTGCTGCGCTGCCACACCCACCGCTCCCTGCTCGTACCCCGTCCCACCCATCCCTTCTCCACCCACATTCAAACCCCCAGACGTCCCCTGCACCCTCATCCTCTGCTGCCCCATTCGTCCGCTCCCTCTTGGGGACCCCAGGGATCCCCCAAGCCCTCCGCCTCTTCCCCCTGTGTGCCGCCCTCTACCAGGGATATGCGCCCCTGAGTGGTGGGCGCGAAGGGCCAGCCTCCTCTTGCTGCGGTTGCTTGCAGCTACACTGGGGGAGATTTTGGCCACAGAAGGGGTGTTGGGGCTGGCGGAAGGAAAGGCACCAGAGAGGGGGGAATGCGTGGGGAAGGGGAAGGAGCCAGGGATTCTGGAAGAGGGGGAGGGTGCGCCCATGGGTGTGTACGCCCCTAAGGGGGAGTGTGCGCCGAAAGGGGGAGGGCTGGGTGGGATGGAGATGGAGAGGCGTTGGAATTCGGCCAGGCGAGGGGAGGGGAGGTGGGAGAAGCAAGGGGAGGAGAATGGAGAAGGCTGGCCGGGGGAGAAGAGGGGAGATGGCAGGTGTGGGGAAGAGAGCGGGGAGGAGAATTGGGAGGAGAGATGGGGAGAGGAGGCGAGTCGAGGGGAGGACACACGGAAAGGGTCGCCCCCGAGGGCCCTTCCTGACTGCTGCAGCTGTTTCCTCGCCCAGGGAGGCAGCCGTGACGACCGCTGCAAACCCCCATCTCCTCCCTCCCCCTCTGATGCTCCTCCGCTCCCCTTCCCCTCACCGCCCTCCAATCCACCCTGTGTTGCCCCACCAACCCCCCCTGCATCACCCCCCTGTGCCCCATCCGCACCAGCGTCCAGTGCCCCACTCTCTGCCTCAATAGTTTTCCCATCACCGCCCGCACCTCCCACTCCCGGCTCACCCTGACGCTGCTGCTGCTCCAGACCCCCCTCGTGCTGCTGCTGTGCCTGAACCCCAGCAGCCGTAGCTCCACCAGAACCCATTCTAGCAGCTCCTCCCAGCCTGCCTGCTTCTTGGAGATCCCTGTGGAGACTAGCGGACCACAGCATGGCGTCAGTCATGCCCGCACTGGACGCACCACCGCCACCGCCACCACCACCACCGCCAAAAGATGGGCCGGCATCGAAGCCTAGCGCCCTGTCAGGCCAGCCGGGTAGACCTCTCTCCTCCGGAGCAGTGAGGAGGCTCTGGAACGAGGTGCTGGCCGGCTGCTGCAGGTACGCTCTGTCCGACATGCTGACGTGGCCGGATGGCATGATGACTTGGCCTGATGGTGTGCGGGGAAGCGGCGACGGATCCAGGCTATGGTGGTGGTACTGCAAGAATCCTGCCAAGCCAGTGCCGCTTCCAATCCCTTCCATGCCAGCCTCCGCTTGACCCATGAGCATCCTTCCTTCATCCATAGCTAGCCTATGAGACAGCCCCCCAGATGATGCTCCCACCATACCGGGAAAGCCATCAGCCCCTGCTATCCCCTGCCCCTGTGCCCTTCCGGAAAGCTGTTGGTAGTTGAGAGATTCCAATCCTTGCATCATTGTAGCTCCAGTTCCTCCTGACCCCAAACCCATCCCCATTGCGGACAGGCGAGATGGGTAATCAAGTGCTGATGCCCCATATCCCCCAGCTCTGTGCCCCAAGGAGGACCATGGAAACTGATTGGAATCGCCAAGGGAAGGCCGAGGGTCTTCTCCCATTGCAGCCTGCATCGCTTGCATCATGCTGCCGCCTTGCTGCTTCCCCCCTGCTGCAGCCACCTCTGCATCAAATTCACTCAGCGCACTGAACCCCCTCCCTCCAGGATCCAATGCTGACGGCCCGCCTTCCAGCATCCCTGTGTAGGTCAATCCTGATGAAACCCCTGATGTTACTCCTGGTGCCAATCCATGGGAGTAGCCAGGCATATGTGCTGCTGCACTGCCGCTCTCTGAACGGAAAGGACCCAGTGCTGGGAGAGGTTGTGAGGAGTGCAGAGCGGTGAAGTGGTCGTTAAATCCCGCTGCAGGGGGTGTTGTGTGCCGTCGGATGTCCCACAGGTGCCTCCCATGTTGAGCAGGGCTGATGTCCTGAGGAGAAAAGTAACATAAAATCAGAGATTAAGTTTCTAGAATCTATCAACCACCACCTTCCGTTGCAACAAAAAGGGCCAAGAAGATTGACCAATGTAGCCTCTATAACACGAGATATGGGTACAACACACCAAAGGAGGAACATATCGCCCTAGAACAATATGTAGAACGCATTCGATATATTCTCAAGCTAAACTTACTGCTTTTGGCCTGTTGGTAATAAGCCACTTCTTGAGAAACCGCATGTCGGATCCCAAATCCAAGCACAATTCATGCGCTGATCCCGACGTCTCTATGCCTTCCATCCGCCACTGAATGGCTTCTCCGAACGCTCTCATACGTTCCTGGACGAACAAAACGACACAGAAAAAAGGGTGGTGAGGCAGTGAGAGGTGAATCACTGGGATGAGATGCATGAAGAGATGCATTGGAGACATGGAGAACATGGAACAGATTAAGGATGGAATACGTGATGTGAGCAGTTGCATACCTCTTCGCTGGGTAACAACCTCTTCCTTCTCCCGGCCTGCCGCCTTGTAGCCTCCGCTGGTCCTCCTTCTGCTCCTACTCCTCCACCGCCTGCACCATCACCATGGAAAACAACAAGAGTGCTGCTTCTGTCAGCTATGTGCCATTTTTTTAAGAAAAACAAAATGCAAAAAATGTCACTTATACTATACTATGCATGATACAGTCAATCAGCCGTGCTTCATGTAGCCAATCAGTCACGCATAACCAAGCCATCACTTCATGCATACTAATCTACAGAATAGTCACGCATCAATCAGTCGACGTATCTCCTCCTCAGATGTAAGTCAGTCATGCATTTATCACATAGCAAACATTCATGCATTATCCACATAAATTATTACCTGAGGGTGGAGAAAGCACACGGTGGCGTGGACCTCTAGGAGGGCTGTCGAGGGGGTCAACGAACAGCCTTCTCCGCACGTTCAAATTATCTGCTCCCGATATTGTCACCTCTTGCAGCCCCGATAAATCCACACCCCTCAGGCTTTCCGAGGCTGCAGGAGCGGATCCATCAGTAAGACCCCTACTGCCATCAGCAGGGGGTGTCACAGTGTGCTGTGCAACAGGTTCCGTTCCTAGCCCTTGAGTGTCCGCGCCATCTCCGTCATTCCGAGAAGGCGGATTCTGTACATCTGCTGCCTGGATAAGCGCCAAGAACGAGGATGGTTCTGGGTTGGCATTGGTTTGTCCTGTGGATCCAGATCTGTCATCCGTTGCAAATAATGGCACATTTCGCAGACAGGAAGAGCTAGGATTTCGTGGAATGTCACTTCTAGCGCAACTGAATGGCATCTCAAGTTTATGCAGCTCAGGAGTGGTAAAGCCAAGCGCTTTAACGCCATGGTCAGCATCATCAGTACGAGGAGATGGAAGAGTACATATAACTGTGTCATTGTTAACACGAGCAGCCTGCAAGCAAACGCAAAGCCATTATTAGTATGCATGATTTGATCCCATATGTTAGACCCCTGACGAATGCAAAAATTGATAGAACTACCTCGTTCACGCTATCCTTGGAACCTCCAGAAGAATCTGGCATGTATTCCCTCAGAGGGCCACCAGAATTAGCATCGGTTGCCATCCTGCAAACAACCACACGCAAAATATTAGTCGATACTAAAAACAATAATCCCTTGAGGTAGAATAACTACTCTTAATCTGCATTTCAATCTGGAAACCCGTAATCAACGGTGAACGTGCGGTTCTGCTGGTAAGAACGGTCATGGATCTAAACATTCATGCAATCTAGAATAAGACAACATGGACAAGCCGAATAGAAGAGCGAATGACTAAATATAATCTTAAATGCATCGCTCCCATGATCGGTGCTAGCTTTAGTTTGTGTTAGCTCAGATACCTGCCATGCACGTTCTCCTGAAGCCAGCTTTAGCTCCGAATGATGTTCAAAGACGTGGCTGGGAGAACAAACGCGAAGCTGACTCGAAATGCGTGCATGGACACACGAGCTGCTGCAAGGAACCCACAATGCACGGGTTTCTAGGCGATTGCAGGACAGGAAGAATTTGGAGATGAGAGATAAGAGGAGCATGAGGGAAGCTTGTAAGCTCAGAAATTGGATTTCCTGCTGGCCTTTTGAGAGGCATAGAGTTGTATTGCTACCTGAAGCAGGAGGTGGCGTGCATTGAGCAGATGAGGTTTCCAACCTTGGCATGCTCGCACTCCTCGAACCGCGAGGAAATCCTGACCGTTCACGGGTCAAAGCAATGCGCGATGGCGAATGTACATGGATTTTGGACGACGCGATATACGGTTGAATATTCCACACTCGTGCCCCTCAGCATCCAACATACTTATGCACTTCACCAGCATACGACGAGATGTCTGATTAACTAAGTGGAACTGGAAGTATACTTGCAAGAAAAAATGCATGGCTGGAAGGAAGATCTCGAGCGTCAGTAGCTGAACTGATGTTATGCAAGGACTAGCAGCAGCGGTTTTCATTTATTATATGCATATAGAATTCAAAATTATAAGATCCCAAAACGGATATGGTAGTATGAATTTAAACCTCCTGCATCATAGCAATAGTTCACTGCCACAGTAAACAGTGGAGGCTATTAGATATGACAGAATGGAGCTAGCATTGAAGCTCCAGAACCGTAACAGACAAATCGTCATGCAATTGTCGGCGGTAATCGCCTGCTCGTATTTGAAGGAGTTGTTCAATCGTCATACCTGCAAAAACACAACACATTATACAGTCAGACAGGCGGCGCAAAACAACCACCACCACAACCCAACACGATCATGCACATCCGCAACAAAGCATGGACAATATCCAAGTACCCACCTGCTCTTCTCGCAGCTCGATCAAGCGCCTCTTGCACCAGCGCATGCGAAAGATTCGGCCCACCAGCGCCCTTACACGGGCTCCCACAACCACCCTCAGCACTGGTGCTACCAGCGCCAGAAGCCTTATCCACAGCAGCCAGTGCGCGGGACACAGAGGCAGCAGCGTCGGCAGGAGTCATGTGTTGATAAAGGCCGTCGGAGGAGAGGACAAGGTAGCGGTGGGAGGGGGAGAGAGTGAGGTGGTGCAGGTGTGGCGAGGAGGAGAGGTAGGGCTGAGACCCCACGTACTGCACTCGCAGCATGCCGAGAAGCATGGCATTGACTCGCGGCTGGCGGAAGGAAGAGAGGGAAGGCGAGAGGAGATGTGAGCGGAAACAGACTCAGATGTCAAGAAAAGCTGGTCAGGTTGATGCACTTGCATGTGTGCAGTAGGCAATGGGGCAGCACAAGGCGAGAAGGGAGAGAGCAGGGGGGTGGACTACGGACTAATGCAAAGATTAAGCGTACATTCTTGAGGTAGGCGGCACCAAACGCCCTGGTAGTCTTGAGCTTGCCCTTGACTCGCATCTTTGTGATGGCGTCGGGATCGTCCGCCCTCTCCCTCCTCAACCTCTCCACCTCCTGGAACCAACACCAGTGGCAGGCAACACGCACAACAGTGGAATAGACGAAATGTCAGTACGAGATGCAGATAGGAGGCAGAACCGCATCGGAAAAATAATAATCTAGATTAACTAGATAGTCCGGATGAACAAGTGCCAGCATTGCTCTCACCTTCTCGTTGCTCGTGTCGTGGTCCTCCGTCAGCTGAGTCGCCCGCAACTCCGCCAGCTTCTTCCGCCCCTCCGCCTCCACCTCCTCTCCCGTCTCTCCCTCTTCCCCCGCCTGCCCAGCCTGCCCCGCCTGCCCGTCCTCCGCCACAACCACGGCGCGGCAGTCCCCGAGGTTCATGACGTAAAGCTCACGCCCGGCCACCACGGCAACCACGAGGCACGCGCCCGCCACCGCCAGCTCTAACTGCTCCGCCATTCGCTCCTCTAACGACTCAAAGTACGCCGCTTCGGTTTCGCTCAGCGCCGCCGCTAGTGCTTGCAGGACCATCTCGTGTCGCCGCGATGTGTCTTTCGCCTCCGCTTCTTTCTGCGCAGCTCCTTCCGCCGGGACCGACGAGGCATTCGAGTTTGCCTCTCCGAAATCCAGCCCGCGGGCAACTAATTGCTGGGCGAAGCGCGAGTGCAGATTAGCGACAAGAAAATCGGCTGCTGACGTGTCGGTGAATCCGTCATACACGGCAGAAAACACGTAGCCATTACCTGAGGCCACCACCTGCATGCGGTCCTCCCCCGCCACCCCTTCTGCCCACTCCGCTCCCTCCGCCGATGCGCACGTCGCTCCGCCGTTCCCCCGCGCCGCAGCGTCGTTATTTAAAGACCAGGAGACGACTATCCCTTCCTCCGCCTCTAGTCCTAACAGCTCCTGCTCTCCACCCTCGCAGTCCGCTGCCTCCCCCTCGCGCGCCCCTTCCACGACCGCCGCGCCTCCGGCCGGCCTTTGCGGATTTTCCGGAGCAGAAGGACCACAGGATTGGCCAAGGCTCATGGTAATAAAATCCTCCCCTCCCGCGGGACCCAAGGGCCCTGTGAGGCTTATCGAATTCATCGACCCTGGAGAGTTTCTCAGAAAATTCCTCCGACTCGACGGCAGTAGCCGACTCGACGACAGCGATGACAGGCGAATCTTGTCACCAATCGTCGCCCAGCCTGTTCGCGAGTGATGCTCCCGATGGCTGCGACTGCTTCGCGTGATCCGCCACTTTCCTCGCGATGACTCGCCTGGCGACCTCGCTGCAGTTTCCTCGTCTTCAGTCACAACCGCGGTGCCAGTCCACGACACCTCTCGCACCGGTTCCTTGTGGCTTCGGCTCAGCGTGATCGCCGTTTGCCCCGCATCTACATTCTGCACGGCAGTTTGCACGGCGTTCTGAATCGCGTTTCGCTCCGCACTTTGCGCCACGCTTTGCGGCACTTCGAAAATAGCCGACAAGTCACTCCCCTCGTCCGGCCCGTGTGCGGAACCTCCGGCGCCTTCGTCGAACCGCCTGTCTTTATTCCTCAACCACCCGTTCAAATTCGGCATCGACATGCTAAAATTGATCCGTTTCAGCAAGTTCTCCGACCCCCCGTGATGTCGCTTGACGGAAAGCGACTGCGAACCGCGTTCCGTTCCGCCACAGGGGGAGGAGGCCCCGGACGATCCCGAGGAGGAGCATGAGCCAAGCGCAGAAAGGGGGAGGTTGGGAGGAAAACTGCGGAAGGATTGCGTGCTAAGGAACAGCTTGTGCGTTATTCCGCCACTAAGCGTGGAATGCGGGCTTAGCGCATTCGCCTCGATCCCCGCGCCAGTTACCGCCACTACCGCCGTCCCGCGAAGAGCGGAGGGAATGGCGATCGGTAAACTGACGTCAACCGGCGATTGGAGGCAAGGGCTTGGTTGGAGAGAATGCTGCTGATTGGCCAGGTTTGCCGAGCCTGTAGCCGTTGCTGCAGCGTTAATCGCTGACATGACTATGGAAGGCCGAGCGGCTTGAGGAGTTAAGAACGAATTGCGTGAGGGTAGCGATAGATCGAACGGCCTAACGGACTGAAGCTGCTCTCCTTCCTCTCTAAACGGCTCTGAGGGAGGGGTTGCTGTACTGTGAAGAGAGGACGCTGCAAACGCGGACGCACCAGGATCAGCGGGGACAGGCGAGGAACGCGCCATAGAGAGGAGAGGGTAGAGACAGTGGGAGCTTTCCACGTCAGCAGTCATATCCGATGAATGAGCCTGTGGTAAAAAACAAAAACAACAGACTAGTTATGCAAGTTGATGAGACGGGGAAGATCTTAACTAGGCGTCTAGTTTAAGACCTCAATAACCCATCACAGTTTCACCACCACGGAAGCTCTTCAGACTGATCCTTTGCATGCTAACACGGATTCACCCTGCGCCAACAGAAATATCGTCGTCCCGCGCGAGCAAAACATACGTTCAGCGCAAGGAAAGCTGCTTAGAGCACTGGATAATGGATGGACAAACACCACAGAACCACTTGACTACTCTTCCCCTTCAGCTGCTCCTTCCTGCTCGATCGATGGCAGTAACAGCAGCTGTGTGATCTGTATCTGTACATTAAACCTGGTCAAGGGGAGACCGTACCACTCCCCCCCCCCCATCCCCCACACAATGCTGCTATCAAATCATAACTTTGGGACAGAGCGGAACGGGACGGGAGAGGGAACCTTGGGAACATGGTTCAGGGAAGGCTTTTTGCTCCAGTTGATTTGAAAGTGTGAATCCGCCCGCCAGGTTTACAGTGCGCATGTGCCTGCGGGGGCGGAAAAGGGAACCAGGCGGAGAAGAGAAGGGACGGGAGCCACGCTCTGAGCTGTCCCAGGAACACGCGGCGAGTGGCCTGCTGCGAGTCTTGGATAAATCAGGGCTCGGTGGATTGGTTGAGAAGTTCGGGAAGTGGGGACCACACGTGACAGGGGGACAGCAATGTGCGCCTGGTTCGGCTCTGAGCGGTGCAAACAGGCCTCCTTGGCGGAAAGCAGTCCGCTCCGCCCGCGATCACGATTCACGTCAGGAAGTCGAGCAGGGAGGATGCGGCCTGGTTGGTGAGGCGATGCGAACAAACTCCCACGCGAGGGCGGCAGGGATATTGACCTTGGAAGCTTCCAGCCAATATGAAATCTCGAGACACATTGTTCGGGCAGAACGACCGAACAATCTGAACAAATTGGCTCGGAATTTCATGTCGACCTCTGTGTCTTGACGCTTGAAATTGTGGGAGTGGTGGTGATGAAGGCCACTACTGTTCGCAGACAGCAATGTTACTGTGTACAAGAGAAAATAATTTGTTCAGCGAAGCAGAGCAATGGCAAAGTTGTTCAAACTGCTGTCCAGCTCTTCCTTCACCACAAGTATTTGATTTGCATGACACGGCTTACAACCACCACCCCGCCGCAGAAAAGTTGCAGCCAATAGTTTTCATGCTGACGACACAGGGGGCGCTAGCCCTTTCCAATTTGCAAGTTATTGGCCACAAAACCATTGAAGCCAACCAATAACGGAAGTCCGGCTGGCATGGTTTCCAGCTAGGGCTGCAAGCCACAGTCTCCCTGACACTGTAGTTCCCAGGGGACGCAATATATCGGTACAATGCAACTCTATTTACCATACGAGTTACACCTGTACATTGACTCTCTGTTAGGAAATACTTCAGGGGGTTATTCTCAAGACCACCATTGGCTTGGTTGAGGTTATATAAGCAGTGTCTAGAGAAACAGACTACATGCTACCTCTTTTGCTTTTATAATAAATGCATATAAGAAACCTCGCTGTTTCCAAACCCACAAGTCATGTTTTCAACTTGGCGCATTGTTTTGCACCCCATACAAGCGCATGGGCCTATCGGAGGCCTACGTTTTATATACAGGGTACTACATTACATTCATTCTAAGGGCGTGTTCCAGGCCCTACGATATCAGGAATTTTACCCTGAAATTCCTGATTTTCAGGGTTTTTTTTACCTACCCTGAAAATCCAGTGTTCAGCTTTTCCTAGGGCTGATTTTTCAGCCTTCACATGCCACATGACTCTGAACTTTCAGCAATTTTTTTGAAGTGACACTGATGCCTTTACGTTGTAACGAGTTTGACCCTGAAAGCGAATCCTACTAGGTACGAGTGTACTTGACCGGAAGTACTGGGAAAATCAGATTCCCGCGGTGTGAGCAGGGCCTGTCGTTGACTATCGGACAATTTTGCCCACACTGATGGCCCCTTAGTTGGCACGCCTGGTCCGTTCATCGGCCACATTTGCAACATTAAGTGACTTGACTAATTACAAGGTTGCAGCACAGAGATGCTGGCAGGCTGCGCTGCGAGGGATTCTGGCGGTCTAGGTCGTGCTGGCAAGCACTGATGCATCCACGCCTCCCAGCCGTGCTACCTGCCATCCAGCCTCACATCCCGTTCTGCTGTTTGCTTGCTTCCTAGTGTTTTTACTACTAGTAAAATAAAGACTACCGTACTAGTATCAGCCTTTTTCTGTAGGGAACACTGATGTATCAGACTTTTTTTTAAAGTAACATTGAACTTTCAGGCTTTTTTTTTAGGCGACCCTGACGATCAGGGTCTAGGGGCAGAGGGACCCTGATACCCTTACGTGCCTAAAAGTGAATCTGAGGGCCTGGCGTGTTCCTATGGCCTCATATCATGAAACCTCGTATCAAGAATGTACCTTGTGCTTGGTAAAACTAGCGAGAGGTTTTGGGCTTAGGAAATTTTTAGTGTGAGCCTGATACGAGGTTCTCTTGATACGAGGTGTAGGAACATGCTCTAAGAGGTAGATTCAATCTGAACAGTGAGGTCCCTGACACCAATGTCATTGAAAATGGAATGGACGTGCTCTAGAACCTTTTGCTCATCCACGCCTTCTCTAACCTGCAAAACAACAACCAGCATGTAGAATTTATTAATATGCAAATTGTCTTTGCCTGTTGAAGGCTTATTGAAACATGACATCCCTAACCCAGCAGCTCGAAACAACAAAATGTGTGGCATGTGGAACGTAAAGAGCTGTGTACTTACCCGAACAGTAAGTGTTCCCACCACATGTCCAGGGACCACTGCCCAAAAGCGATGCTCTATGCATTCTTCTACCCCCTCATATGCCGCCACCTGCCAGGCGCACGCACGGACACACAAACCGCAAAACACATGGAACCATACAACAGGCACACATGGTACAGCTCGCATGTTCAGTGTGAGGACCAAAAAGCCATCCATGCATGCATCTAATGACAGACGTGCACTCATTGACAGACCTGACATGCGAATTACAAATCAAACATAACATACAGTATGGGAGAATCACAGGGACCAACAGACTGAATGCAGATGAAAACAATGGAGATGAAAGACCCACATGGCGAATGCATTTGTGCAGCGCGGGTTCGGAGATGCCTGCAGGGGCCATCTGCAGCAGGAGATTGCCGGACGATTGCACCAATGGCAGCGCGAGCACCAGCACTGCGAGGGAGACGAGGCCCAGACAGATGGCCTCTGCACAGTACACCCTGGGAATGGAGGCAGGCATGATTGGATAGGGATGGGGGAGATTAACGAGGCAAGGAGGGAGTGAAATTCGAGGACTTCCTGTAGTATATGGCATGTGCAATGTAATTCAGTGTGCAGCAGTGAATAGAGACAAGAGAAGAACTTGATCAGGCTGGAAGAGAACCATGTGAAGAATTGCAGTATTGCCGTACCGTACATTGCTGCTTACCCAATGGCAATGAACCACGAGGCGAGCACAACTCCACCACTGATACAGGCAAGCGGCGATGGGAATATGAATGGAACATAAGGCTGGGTTTGGACTCTTTGACGCATGCAAATCCATCCCTGATAATTTCATGCATGTAAGTAGATGACCTGATGGCACCTGAAGAGTGAAATTAGATGCCCTGTTTGGTCCAGGTAGATGACCTGATGGGTCGAAATAGATAATCTGATGGGACCACCATTACACCTTAGTCACATGCAGCGGTCAATACCTTTGGATGGAGTCACAGAGAGCATGCGCAGCAGCAGACTACCGAGCTGATTTAAAGAAGAGCATGTGTTACCTAGTGCTCACACACAGTGTTTCTATACAAATATCAGAAAACACATGCAGAAATAGAGACTTCCTAAACCCTAAACCCTAAGTCACGTTGTGTTCACGCGTGATCAGTACCTTCGGATGGAGTCACAGAGAAGGTGAAGCAGGATGGCATGATGGTTCATGTCCCTTGGTCTCTGGTATGCTGCAACACACAGGGGAGAAAGAGAAGGAGAAAGGAGAAGAATACGGCGCAGGAAAGATGGAGGAGAGAAGCCGGTTGGTTGACGGTTCATGTCCCTTAGTCCCTTTAAGTAATCATGCACCCCTGCACAAACACCACTGCTGACGCACACGAGTACCCATAGAGTCACTCATCGTGCGAAGGCAAAACCCTTTAAGAAGAACACTCCGAGGAGGTTGATGGCGCGATGGTTCATGCCCCTTCAACCCGCTTCACCCACTTCACTCCCTTCACCCTGTGCACACACCCCTGCTCTCACAGACACCCCGAGACTCACTTATTGTGCGGCGGGCAAAGCTTTTAAAGAAGAAGACTCCGAGGAGGTTGATGAGCAGATGAACCACTGCAGAGAGCACCAGGTAGTGCCTGGGGAGGAGGCAGGGGGAGCAGTTGCCGGCAACCACAGAGAGTGAAGTGAAAAAGAGGACATTCAAGTTGAGTCACAAGTCAGGTCTTGAAGAAGAAGACTCCGAGCAGGTTGATGAGCAGATGAACCACTGCAGAGAGCACCAGGTAGTGCCTGGGGAGAGGGAGAGTGGTTGCGGGCGATAAGAGAGAGTGAAAGAGGTGATGTCTGAGTCGACTCAATGGCCAGCGCTTGAAGCACAGGTTGAAGAGCCCGAGGAGGGAGCTGAAGTGCGCATCAACAGATAGTGCCTGGGCAGGAGGGAGTGGTTGATTACAACAAGAGAGCATGACGAGGGAAGTGTGGGACTGTTGACAGACTGGAAAGTGGGTAGAGAGTGAAGGGAAGGCAAAAAGGTGATGAGCAGGCATTGGATCGGGCAAGAATCAGGGATTGAGTCAGACAGGCAGTGAATGAGCAGAGCAGGCACAAAGGCAATGAACGGAAGTGAGGCCTCTGCAGCCCACCTGTCCGCTACTGACAAAGCTGTACAAGTGAAGTGACAAATAGGCAGGCATTGATGGGGGGGATCAAAGAGCTTACTTGTGCTCTGCTTCGTCCTCGATATAAGCATGCAGGCACTCCACTGCTAGCGAGAAGGAGAGGAAGAGAAGGAAGAGCTGCAGGGCGGGGTGGAGAGAGGGGAGGTGTGAGGGAGGGAGGTGCAGGGGGGGAAGCGGAGAGCGACGCTGCTCATGCCCAATGCTTCTCACACAGCTAAAGGCATGAGGAACAGCGATGCAACGGGTTTTGAACTCGCACGTAAAAGGCAATACAGCACGTCACTAGAGCACACGTGGTGGGTTCTTTGAGACGTCTCAAAAACACCCTCTCTACATGTGGTGGGTTCTTGCACTCCCGTCACACTCGTCTCGCACTCACCCCCTTGGTGAATGCTGCTAACACCTCCAGCCTCTCATATCTGTAGGAACAGCAGTGCAAATGGGTTGTTGCACTCGAAAGGCACGATACGTGAATCGGCACGTGTCTAGGGCGCATGCAGTGGGTTCAGGCACTCACCCCGTTGGTGAAGGCTGATAACACCTCCAGCCTCTCATAGCTGAAGGCAGGAGCAACAGCGATGCACTTGGATTCGCACTGAAGGGAAAAACACGACATCTTTATAGCATGCATGTCGGGTTGTTTCACTCATCCTGGACTCACCCCGTTGGTGAAGGCTGCTAGGACCTCCAGCCTCTCATAGCTGGGAGAGGGGGTCAGTCAGAGAGGAGTGCAGGGACAACGGGGGGAGGGTGCAGAGGGGAGCGGGAATACAGGGAGTGCAGCAGACGGGAGGGAGAATTGAAGTGCAAGGATAAGAGTGATGTTTAGATGGACACATTTACACATCTGGCGAAGCTGGACCTTGGGAAAGGTGATACCTGAGGAAGGTGTTACATGGGGAAGGTGTTACCTGGGGAAGGTGTTACCTGGGGAAGGTGTCACCTGGGGAAGGTGTTACCTGGGGAAGGTGTCGCCTGGGGAAGGTGTTACGTGGGAAAAGGTGTCACCTGGGGACGGTGTTACGTGGAAGGTGATACCTGAGGAAGGTGTTACCTGGGGAAGGTGTTACCTGGGGAATGTGTCACCTGGAAAAGGTTTCTGCAGTGCAAAGGTGCAAGGTGGCATCTGCAGGGCGTTTCCCCATGAGCATGGTGGCAGGTGAGAGCAGAGGATGCACTTGGGGGAGGTGAAACCTGGGGAAGGTGGCACCTGGGGAGAGTATACAAAGGTGCAAGCAACGACCTACCTGTAGGCGAAGGTGGCATCTGCAGGCCTACCCGTAGGTGAAGGTGGCATCTGCAGGCCTACCCGTAGGTGAAGGTGGCATCTGCAGGCCTACCCGTAGGTGAAGGTGGCATCTGCAGGCCTACCCGTAGGTGAAGGTGGCATCTGCAGGGCGTTTCCCCACGAGCATGGCGGCGAGGGAGAGCAGCAGGATGCAGCAGCCGAAGGAGAGATGGAAGGAGTCGGACACGAGCTCTGGGAGGGGAGGGTGGGAGGGGTGGAAGGGCAGAGGAGAAGACGTGAAGAGCGGGGGAGCAGCAGGATGCAGCAGCCGAAGGAGAGATGGAAGGAGTCGGACACGAGCTCTGGGAGGGGAGGGTGGGAGGGGAGGAGGAGGGGAAGGGGAGATGGAGTGAGAGCGGAAAGGAGTCGAACACGAGCTCTGGGAGGGGAGAAGTAGAAGTGCAGGGTGTGCAAGACAGTGAGCAAATCTCAACGCTTAGAAGCAACACTCAGCTGTCAACCACCCACCTATTCGGCCAATGAAAAGCCCCACGATGAACTGTGCAGTGGAATACGCGGAGTTGAGCGCAATCAGAGCGCCAACCGCCTCAGAAGGCAAGCTAAGGAGTCAAAGTCACTGGTCAACGGTCAACCACCCACCTATTCGCCCTATGAGCAGCCCCACTATGAGCTCCGCAGTGGAATACGCGGAGTTGAGCGCAATCAGCAGCGCCAGCCGCCTCATTCCCCCCGCTGACCGCTGCTGCAGCGCCCCCACCACCGCCCTCCCCCACCACACCCCCCCCGCCACTGCCCCCCCCTTCCCCCTGCCCCTGGCGGACGTTTGGGGGAAGGGAGACCAGGGGGAGGGGGTGGGGGGGAATTGGCGGGCAGGGGAGGGGGAGGGGGCAGGGGAAGCGGCGCTCCAGGGCGTGTGGGGAGTGCGGAGGGAAGGAGAGGCGGAGGGGGAGGGGGAAGGGACCCAGGGGGACGCTGGGGCGGGGGAAGGCCAAGAAGAGAGGGAGGGGGAATCACCATTCCTTTGAATCGAATTACTCTTGCTACCGCCCCTGCTAACATCCTTAGCACTGCCTGAACCCTCACTTCTCTCTCTTCCTCCTGTCGTTACCACTGCTGCACCTGCTGCTGCTCCTATAGGCGTCTTTCCCCCCTTTCCCCGCTCCGCCCCTGCAGCTTCCGCGCCCATGTGCTGCCTGCGCGCTGAAAACTCCGCCACAGCAGCTGCAGCCGCCGCCGCTGCGCCCTTGCCTAGCTCCGAGCCTGCGGAGGAAGTTCGGCTGGGAGGCGGGACGGCAGGCTTGGCAGAGGAGGGCGTGGACTGGCTCGGACAGTTGTTGTCACTGGCGCTGCGCTTTACACGGCCGTGATGTGAGTGGGCCGCGGAAGGGGGAGCGGAAGGGGGGGAGGACGGGGTAGCGAAATCGATAACGGAAGGAGTGGCGGAAGGGGTGGCGGAACGAGTGGCGGAAGGAGTGGCGGAAGGGGTGGCGGAAGGAGTGGCGGAAGGGGTGGCGGAAGGGGTGGCGGACGGGGTAGCGGAGGGCGTGGCGGACGGGGAGGGGAGGGAGGCAGGGGAAGGGGAGCCCGTCTCGTGAGGGGGCAGCGGGGCGGAAGCAGGAGAGGCGGAAGGAGAAACCTGTCTCTCCAGTGCCGATGGTAGCAGCGTGATGGAAACAGTACAAGTAGCAAGAGAGCCTGTCACTCTGTTTTTCTCCTCTCTATGTGACGCCACACAGGCCGGTTGCGGATCGGACGGCTGGGAACGGCCTCCTGGCAATCCATTTTGTCTGCTATGATCTTGTAGATCTGAACCGTCCGTTTGATTCTTCTCCGTTTTCTGAAGAGCCGCACCTCCTGCGCCTCTCGCTGGACCTACATCACCCGAACCAGCTGCAGCAGCTGCCGAACCTGTCCACCCCGAGTCTGCTGCAGCCATTGGATTCACCCCTGCCGAGCCAGAAATCCAATCCGCTGGCTCGGCTTTCGTCCCCTTCTGTGTCTTACCCTTAACCGGACCAGTACCCTTGGCTCCTACTCGTTCGCAAATACCCGCATGACTACCCGCCCCTCCATTACCGAACCTCTCCCGAACCTGTTCCTCGGCTTCGGCTCGTCGGATGCTGCTAGGGGCCGAAGACGCAGCAGCTTTATACGGCGTAGCAGCAGCATCGGCTGCTGACACGAGCGCGTTCGTCTTGGCGTTGCTGCGTTCGGCGATAGGAGAGGCCGAGGGAGAGAAGCCGTACCAAGCGGCGGGAGAGGAGGAAGGTGCTGCGAAGGCGGGAGGACTGGCCGATTGCGCTGCTGCTGAAGGCTGCGAAACCACCGGCTGTGACCGAATCGGGTTACCACCCCGGCTAGGGTTTCGCGGGCTGGATTTGGGTCCAGAGGGAGTGGAGGGGAGTGCGTGAAGCGGAGGGCCGAATCTCGATGTAGCACGGCTGGTGGCTTGAGGAGTGGCGTAGCTGGGATCTGGGCGGTCGCCTGGCGATGTCACAGGAGCGGCGATCGGAGGGGAAGCGAATGCGGGGCGAGCGGAAGTGGGGGTAGCGAATGCGGGGGACGCGGAAGTGGGCGAAGCGAAAGCGGGAGGCGGAGTGCGGAACGCGGCTGAAGGGGAAGGGGAGGAGGATGATGGAGACATGAAAGGATTTGCGAGGAAGGGATTTGTGGAGGCACTTGGCGCTGTGTGGGGAGGCCGTGCGTCCCGCTGTGGGTTGGCCATGGCAATGAACTGCGAGTACAATCGCGGTTAGTACTAGAATGCAAATGTGTTTGCTGATATCGATCAGCAGCGAAAAAGGATCGAATTTTCTCCGCGAGGCCTTCTAGGTAGTTCATATGACCAACATGTAGGCGAGCATATAGATCGGGCTCGCTCCCTTCTTTTTTATCTTCACGATGCCCTCCATGTGTGATGAGCAATACGTGTTTATGGAGCACGTCTCAATATTAAGTCGTGGTGTAGATTGTGGAAACTGTATTATGCAAACGCACTACCCTTTCTAGGTTCTACCAACGGCACAAATCTGGGTGTGTGCTAGGCTGGGAACCACGTGGCGTAGTTGAATAGGTGCGGTGTCCTAGCTGAGACCTACCTGTGACGTTGGCCGGCCCAAAAAATATATTGCGACGCGAGCCGAGCCTCCCAAGCCAGTCAGAGTTTTTCTGGATATGACTTTGTAATAGTCATCAATTATCGCCATCATATTTCAAACATTACGTGTTTAGAGGTTTTTTATTTGCAATTCATTTATGTACCAGCCCATGCTGACCTGCATTTGTTCTCGGGGGCAAGCGAAAATTCGCACCGTAGCGCCAACTTTTGGCCGCCAAGTCTGCTCGCGAAATCAGGCGCCCCCGATGTTTACCGCATTGCCGAGGCTGACTTCGGCCCAGACCGCTTTCGTGTGCGGCCTGTTTACAGTACAAGCTTGTCGGGCAAGAAATACTGTACACTGTAGAACAACGACCGTCCATTGCTCTGCCGAGCTGCTGCAGATCTCTAGGGCGCCTGGACCTCGGTTTTTTCAAAACGTCCCGGAGCACCTCCCCTGCCTCGGAAACCCGGCCTGGTGACATGTTGACAACCCGGCCCAGAGGCCATCCTCAAACCAGCCCAGGCATTTCCTCCCTCTCACCTCACCTCCCTCCCATCCCCCCTCCCTCCTCCCCCGTCCCACCCGTCCATCCCCCGCGTTCTTCCTGTTAGTTCGATCATTCGGAGTTCTCTCGCGCTGTGTTTGATTCACACAACTCCACCGATTTTCAACTCTGGATTAGCTAGAGCGGCTCACCGTTTTGATTGCTTTACAGGTCTGGACGGCGTATCTTCGGTCGCTCCTAAGCCGTAGATTCGGCAGGCTGTGGCGTAGAGGTGGATGATGCCGAGAGTAACGTGAACGTTCTAGTGTTGAAGCTTTAGAGAAGGACTGTTACAGCGTTTTCTTAGCTGCCAGTATTAATACTGAGATCCGATGGCAAAAAGCGTTTCCGGAAGAAGATTAGACGCGACTCTCCGAGCGAGTATGAGTAAGCATCTTGCTTGGTCATTCAACGCCCGGAGTCATTGTAGTGACTTGGTCTGTAGCGACAAGGGTGCATTTTCATCAATGTGTTCCAAGAATTCCACGTGGCGACGCATGTCAAAACTCATCGCAGTCCTCACCGTCATCAGTCTCGTTGCGCTAACTCGCGAAGCACTAATGACGGCCACCAGCGACGGCCGGAGATTCCTCGTCTTCTCTAATCCTCGGCCGGTTTTTGCGGGACGAGCAGCAGAAGACGGGGCGAATGAGGAAGGCAGAAGCCTGAACCGTATTGTCCCTCATCCAGACGTCGTTATATGGGCTGAGGTAACCTTTTCTTTATTAGAGGCCTGCCAGTTTGAATCGAACGGCTCAGGATGGTAGGCAGGCGGCACTTCCTTGATAAACAGTTCATTTTCTTACGACTGTCGCTGAAGGATTAACATATCAGGCACCGTCAAGTGGATTCGTTTTATGCATAGAAACTGTTCCTCAAGGTCCGCATTTTGTTTCCAGTTTCTCGTCTTCACCTTCCTCATTCCACTGTCATCCGCAATCTCACACAAACAGGGACCGCTTCACAAGCGGCTGGAGGCGGTATGCGCAGGGTACGCGCTGCACCACCTCCTGTCGTCCAAGCTGCCTGCCGGCGTTCCGAATACCAGCGCCGCGTATTCCCAGCAGCAAACCCAGCAGCGGCCGTTGCGCCTGGCTGTGTTATGGCTGCCGGATCGAGCCATGCCGCACGCCACGCTCAACCACGTGCTGGGCCCTCTGCCTCCCCCAAGTGCGCTCGGCGCCGCGCAAAGCGGCAGCCAGCAGGGCGAGCATGCGCAGGAGTCGCCGTCGTTCCCGCCGGATGCGTCGGACGAAGCCCTCGTGCTGCAGCACCACCCAAGCTGGCTCAACTCGCCGCTCTATACCTACGGGGTAGGTTCTTTTGCGAATGTGAAGCGCGCCACGGTTCTGCGTTAACAAATTTCGTCCACTCCTTCGCGACGATGTCTTATTCGCCTGTCCGTTTTTCGCGAGCGTGCACTCAGTCGTCGGCGTTTCGTTCGCTGTCTCAGATTTCATTTTTAGGATTCCTGGTCATACCCTCCTCGTCTCTCCCCCTCCCCCGCTTGTTCGCCTTCCGAACAGACTCTTGACTCGAGAATCCCTCAGCCGATATCTCAAGAGCAGCTGCAGCAGCAACAGCAAAAACTTTTTGGCACGTTCTCCCCTTCCTCCTCCCACCCGCTTCCCTCCGCGCATCGGCCTCGCCGCCTGCGCGTCGGCTTTTTCCTCTCCGCCTCCCTTCCCCCAATGGCCGCCACTCTTGCTGACGTGGAGGATTCCCAGCTCTACACTTCCCTCCAGCGCTGCTACAGCCTGCTACAGCCGTCCACAGCCGTGCAGGAGCTGATAGCCAAGGAGAACATGACACGTGTCCAACAGAGCACAGCGGTTTATATGGAGCCTGTAGCGCTCTCCCCTAAATCCCCCCTTTGCACCGGGTGCGACCCTAAATTTACGGTCAACTGCACGGCTCGCCGCCTCATGTGGTTTTTTCTCGGGCAGCCCGACGGCGACGTTACGGTGGCAGGTTTCTGGCCGTCGCAGGCGCTGGCTGTGGCGCAGACCTTCCACCCATCCCGCCAACCGCACCTTCTCCGCGCAACCCTGCGCCGCTCCGCCCTCTGCCGCCCCAACCCCGCGTGGGGGGAACCGCTCCCTCCGCCGATCGTCCCCGCGGAACCAACTCCGCGGGAGATCGCTGAGCGGGGATGGTTGGGAAAGCTAGGCTGGTTTGACAGGCGGCTGGAAATTAGCGGAGGGGGAGGCGGAACTAGTGGGGCACGAGGCGCCGGGGGGATAGGGTTTGGTAGCGGCGGGAGTGAGAGTGCGGAGCAAGGAGCGCGGGGAGTGGGCGCATGGATAGAGTGCGCGCAACTAGAAGCGGCGGAGCTGTTCGCGCTGTCTGCTGCGCGGGGGCTCATTCACCTGCAGCACTCCCCCCAAGCGGACCTCATCCGCGCGCAGGCCTCCGCCAAAGGCAGAACCCCCCTTGTGCATGACGTGCTGGTCGCCCCGGAGAGCTTTCCGCGGAGAGCGGGGGGCGCGCCAACGGCAGCGGAGGGGAGCAGCGGGGAGGAGGGCGGGGAGGGGAGCGGGGAGGGGGGCTCAAGCGCGGAGCGCGGAGTGTTTGAGGTGGAGCGCGGGCTGTGCCATGCGCCGCCTATGGTGCCTATCAACAAGCACCGCATTGGGAAGCAGCTGATCGTGGATGGTGAGTGAATGGGGACAGGTGTTGTGTCGCCTTAAAGATGGGGCTGTGCCATGCGCCGCCCATGGTGCCTATCAACAAGCACCGCATTGGGAAGCAGCTGATCGTGGATGGAGTCATGATAATGGTTCAGACACGGTGGGCATGGTGTACTGTGCAGTGCAGCAGGTGAGATGTACCAGCTGAAAGTTGTTGCTCCCCTGGCCGCTCCCCCGGGGCTCTTGCATCACTTTGTGCCACATCCTCACTCCATTTTTCATCTTCCCCCTCCCCTCCCACCCCACCATGCCCCGCCATCCCCCATCAGACACAGTGGGCATGGTGTACTGTGCAGTGCAGTAACAGAAAGGTCTGGCTCCCCTCTGGGATCTCGCATCACCTAGTGACACACCCTCGCTTCTCTTTCCCTCTTCCCCATGCCCCCCACCCCACTCTGTTATGTCACCCCCATCAGACACGGTGGGCATGGTCTACTGTGCAGTGCAGAAGGTGGGTTGCACCAGCTGGAAGGTGTGGATTCGCCAGCAGCACCACCACCCCAACCCCAACCAGCTACTAGACACCCACCTACCAGCCACCAGCAACGTCACCGAGGTTTGGTACTCGCTCTCCGAACCTGATGCCATCCGAGCCGTCACCCGAACCGACTACACCAGGTTCGTGTTCGTCCGGCAGCCCTTCACCAGAATCGTATCTGCGTATCTCAACAAGCACGTGGCGGGCGGCGGGCCGGACGGGTTCGGGCGGCAGTTCTGGACGAGAAAGTTTTTCGGGCAGCTGTGGGCGCTGCGGGCGTTGGACGGGCTCAGATTCCGGGCAAACGAAGGAAATTCGTCTGCTGGAGGGGCGGAAGGGGGCGAAGGGGTAGCAGCAGCAGGAGCAGCGGCAGCAGCAGCAGAAGTGGGGGTTGGGACGAAGAGCGGCAGCTGGTGGGGAGTGTGGAAGGACAAGATAGAGATGGAGATGGGGCGTCTGCTGTCGTTTGAGGAGTTTGTGCGACTGCTGGGGGATGCCTGGGACGAGGACAGGCGCTGGTTCCTGGATGAGCACATTGCCCCTCAGGTACGTTCCGTGCACTCTGTCCCTCAGGTACCATCCTGACACTCACGTACTTGTTCCTTGCACCCTCCTTGGGACGAGGACAGGCGCTGGTTCCTCGATGAGCACATCGCCCCTCAGGTACCGTGCTTGCTCCCTGTTGCTCATTGCACCCTTCCTCTTGGGTTCTTGTTGTTCCTTACACCCTGCCTGGGACGAGGACAGGCGCTGGTTCCTTGACGAGCATATTGCCCCCCAGGTACCGCGCTTGCTCCCTTCTCCCTTGCCCCTGATGTGCTTAATGCTTGCACCTTTTCCCTCGGGTATTTATTCTTTGCAGGTTGCCCCTCGGGAAGCAGGCATTGATGTTCCATACCCGAACCCCCTTCTCTGTGCTCCACCCCCCTCCTCCCCTCCCCACCGCCTCCTCCCCTCACACACCCCTTCACCCCTCCCAGATCAGAACCCCCTTCCCAATGCTCCACCTCCCTCTGTCCCTCTGCTTCCCTCTCTAACTCCTCCCCCTGCAACCCACAGAACATCCTGTGTGGGCTGGACCGCATACGCTACGACTACGTGGGGCGCTTTGAGAGCATGGACGCGGACGTGAAGGCCCTCATGCACCGCTTTGGGAGGGACCCGGGCGACGCCTTTGACTTTGGCAAGAAGATCCACCCCACCAAGTCCAGAGACCAGCTGCAGCAGATGTTCAGTAATAAGGTGAGGGGCTCAGTGCTCCCTGAGACAAGTGATGTGTGTGTGGGATATCAGGCCTGTTGTTTTGTGTGGGATCCCTGCGGGACCCGGGATGTCTTTGACTTGGGCTAGAAGATCCACCCCACCAAGTCCTGGCAGAAGCCTTCTGCAGATGTTTACGAGCAAGGTGAGCAGCACAGTCTCCGCTGAAAGAGCAATTTGAGAATCATGAAGGCCGTTGCTGTGCTGGAATCTGATTCATCCAGACTAAAGCCGTGCCTGGAAGGAAGTGAGACCACAGAAGCAAGCGCTGAAAAGCGCTTCTTTAGTCCATCCGCTGAAAAGCAGAGATATTGTATTCTTTGACCCATCCATGCCAGGAAGCAAGTGAGACCACCCGCAACCCCTGCATCCTGCATGCCTGCCGGCTCACACGCGTGCATGTTTTGTGTTCCGCCCTCTGTGCAATCCTCTTGCCAGGAGACGTACGACATTATGAGGCGAGTGTATGGCATGGACATGCATGCGCCCTCCTGTGTGCACTGCTGGAAACAACCCTGTCGCCCCATGCTTGTGTGCAATTTTCTGTGCAGGAGATGTACGACATTGTGAGGGGCGAGTGTACGGCATGGACACGCACGGTCCCTGATGCATGTGCTGCCTTTCCCTCCTTGCTTGGGTGCCGTCCCGTGCTTGTGTGCTGTCCCCTGCTTGCATGTGTGCCATGTGCAGGAGACGTACGACATTGTGAGGCGAGTGTACGGCATGGACATGCACGCACCCTTGAACAACATCTCCTACGACCCTCCTGAGGAGCTCAGCAGAATCTACGAAGTGGGGGCTGCTGGGCAGGCGGGCAGCGGAGGCCTCCTGGACTCTAAGAGTGCGGGCAGGTGAAGGAATCTCTGTTGCACCGCTGTACCATGTGGTTGCAGCTTGCAGGGGTTAAAATCCCAGAGGTCTATCCGCTGCTTTGTTTAAGCGGCTCCACTGACGAGTGAGGTGTGGGCTGTAGGGCGGCTGAGGGCGGTGAGATGTGGGTTCTGCACTGCCTGTGCATGAGAGGGATGGGGGGGGGAGCTGCGACAGTGTCGGGGGCAAAGGAGGGATGGAGGGAGAGAGAACAGAAAGAGCGAGAGCGAGAAAATCAGGGAGTAAGACACTGGGAGGAGAGGGAGGAGAGAGGTGACGTGTGCTTTATAACAAGACACCATTGGTTGGAGGGAGCTGCCTTGAAGAGTGTTGCCGTGCTGCTCGTCGTGTGTGCTAGCAAGACTCTCGTGTGAGTGAGGCTCTCCTGAGGCACCTCAACAACATGCTCGTCTACGTGCCACGCTGGTACCCTGCTGCTGCTAGAGAAACAGCCACTGCTGCTGCTGCTGCTGCTGCTGGAAGGTGTATGGATGTGCGGCAGAGCGTGGTGCTGCTGAATAGCAGCAAGAGCTGTTCTTGAGTCGTCTCAAGCAAGAGCGGATGGTTGTTAGACCAACATGCGTCTTTGTATTTGCTCTTGAAACTCGTGCGTTCCAGACAAATGGAACAGGGCTGGGGGGACAAGGTAGCTTTGATGAAAATAACTGTAGATTACCTGAGGCATCAGGACCTGCGTGGTGGGGAAAGGGTACGGTAGTCTTGAAATAACTGTAGACTATGTGAGGCACCAGGGCCTGCGTGGTGGTGTAACTACTGTTTCCAATTCTTTTTTTTTTTTTGGTTCCATGGAAGTGTGCCGCATTCACCAGCACAGAGCACCCCAGAAATCAAGACTGGGGTGCTTACACATCCCAGCAGCAGTCCCCGATCATTCTAGTAGTAACCATCCTTGCTCTAAAAAGGATGATACTGTCACATGCTTTGGGCAAGGGAATCATCAAAGCTTTTTTTCTCCAATATGACAACATGGCACAGCAACGGATAAATCTCTTTACAATCACATGGTACGGCGCGACCGTACATTCCTTCACTTGCCAGCACTCTTGAGTCCAGGACTTGGCTGCCCGGTCATCTGCCCGCCCCCTCTTCGAAGATTCTCCGGAGCTCCTTGGGGGGAGCGTAGGAGATGTTGTTCAAAGGTGCGTGCATGTCCATGCCGTACACTCGCCTCACAATGTCGTACGTCTCCTGCGGACAAGGGGGGGGGGGGGGGGGCACAAGCATGTGGTTCTCTTGAATGCGGGTAACGGAGGGTCTGTGCATGTCCATGCCGTACACTCGCCTCACAATGTCGTATGTCTCCTGCAGATGGGGCACACATCAGCAGGGATGACACGCAAGCAAAGAGTGGAGGGCAGCACGCGCACAAGAGTGAGCGAGCGAGCGTGTCCATGCCGTACACTCGCCTCACAATGTTGTCTGTTTCCTGGAGCCGACAACCAGGCATGTGAATGGGAGGACTATATTCAAAATGCACGCAGGAGAGGGCCTGTGCCATGTCTATGCTGTCAACATGTGCCACAATCTCATACGCCTCCTGCAGATGCCACACAAGCAGCCTGAGGGAAGGCAGCGTGAGCACACGAGTGCGCAGGCAGGCATGTGGGATTCCAGTGCACGCAGGAGGGTGCGTACTTGTCATTGCTGGCACTCGCCTCACAATCTCTTACCGGTACAACTCCTGCAGTTGACACACAAGCAGCCTGACGGGAAGGCATCTGTGCATGAGAGTGAGCAGGCAGACATGTGGGATTCCAGTGTATGCAGGAGGGTGCATACATGTCCGCGCCATACACTCGCCTCACAATCTCATACATCTCCTGCAGTTGCCACACAAGCGGCCTGAGGGGAAGGCATCCATGCACGAAGGTGAGCGAGCGGGCATGTGATAGCACCCTGCAATGCTGCATGCCCCTCACCTTGCTGGTGAACATCTGCAGCATCTGCATCTGCAGCTGCAGCTGGTCTCTGGACTTGGTGGGGTGGATCTTTTTGCCAAAGTCAAAGGCGTCGCCCGGGTCCCTCCAAAAGGATGTAGCACAGCAATAAGCCTGATATCCACTGTACGTACGAACTTCCCTTCTCTCAGGGAAAGTGAGGCCCTCACCTTATTGAACAACTTTAGAAGCTGGTCTCTGGACTTGGTGGGGTGGATCTTCTTGCCAAAGTCAAAGGCGTCGCCCGGGTCCCTCCCAAAGCGGTGCATGAGGGCCTTCACGTCCGCGTCCATGCTCTCAAAGCGCCCCACGTAGTCGTAGCGTATGCGGTCCAGCCCACACAGGATGTTCTGTGGGTTGCGGGGGGAGGCGTTAGAGAGGGAAGCAGAGGGACGGAGGGAGGTGGAGCATTGGGAAGGGGGTTCTGATGTGGGAGGGGTGAAGGGGTGTGTGAGGGGAGGAGGCGGTGGGGAGGGGAGGAGGGGGGTGGAGCACAGAGAAGGGGATTCGGGTATGGAACAACAATGCCTGCTTCCTGAGGGGCAACGTGCAAAGAATAAACACCCGAGGGAAAAGGTGCAAGCATTAAGCACCTCAGGAGCAAGGGAGAAGGGTGCAAGCGGAGTACCTGGGGGGCGATGTGCTCATCCAGGAACCAGCGCCTGTCCTCGTCCCAGGCATCCCCCAGCAGTCGCACGAACTCCTCAAACGACAGCAGTCGCCCCATCTCCATCTCTATCTTGTCTTTCCACACCCCCCACCAACTGCTGCTGCGTTTCCGCCAACCCCCTCCTTCTGCTGCCTCTGCTGATTGTGCCACTGCACCTTCTTCCTCCCCTGCTGCCCCTCCAGCGAAAATATCTCCCTCGTTTCCCCGATATCTGAGCCGGTCCCTGGCTCGTAGCATCCAAAGCTGCCCGAAAAATCTTCTCGCCCAGAACCGCCGCCCGTAATCCTTGGGGCCGCCGCCCATCACGTACTTGTTGAGATACGCAGATACGATTCTGGTGAATGGCTGGCGGACGAACACGAACCTGGTGTAGTCGGTTCGGGTGATGGCTCGGATGGCGTCAGGTTCGGAGAGCGAATACCAGACCTCGGTGATGTTGCTGGTGGCTGGGAGTTGTGCTTCTGGGAACTGGTTGGGGTGGGGGTGGTGGTGCTGCTGCCGAATCCAAAACTTCCAACTGGTGGATCCGACCTTTTGCAGCTCGCAATATACAAGTCCCACTGTGTCTGATGGGGGTGGGGCGTGGCATGGTGGGAGGCAAGAGACAGGGAGAGGAGTTGAGTCATCTCACATATTGCTGCTGGCGAATCCAGAACTTCCAACTGGTTGATCCCACCTTGTGTACCTCGCAGTATACCAGACCCACTGTGTCTGATGGCGGGTGGGGCGGGGCATGACAATGAACCAAGTTGACTGTTGAGTCAACTCAAAAGTCAACCCAGCTCGTGGGTCGACCTTCTGTACCTCGCATTATACCAGACTCACTGTGTCTGATAGGGAGGGGGCGTGCATGGTGGGAGGAGAGAGACAGCGAGAGGCAGGGGGAGACAGGAGGAACAGGAGGAACAGGGGCGACAGAGGGACGGGTGGGTGTGGAGGGAGGGGAGGGAGGGGAGGGGAAGAGTGGGATGTCGTACGAACAGCCAGTCCGACAGCCAGTCCGACAGCCAGACTGACAGCCAGACTGACAGCCAGACTGACGGCCAGACTGACAGCCAGACTGACGGCCAGACTGACGGCCAGACTGACGGCCAGACTGACGGCCAGACTGACGGCCAGACTGTGGGCCAGACGGACAAACCCCTTCCATGATGATCATGGTGATGCATCCAGGCGTGATTGACATGCTACCACTCACCATCCGCTATTAGTTGCCTCCCCGTGCGGATTTGAAGGGCTCTTAGAAAGCCTCCTCTCATTGTAAAGAGGATGATCAAGGAGGCCACTCACCATCCACGTTCAGTTGCCTGCCCATGCGGTGTTTGTGAATCGGCACGATGAACGGCGCATGGCACAACCCACGCTCCTCCTCAAACACTCCACCACTCGCTCTCCCCTCCCCACTCCCCTTTGCTGCCCCCTCTCCCTCATTGTCCCCCCCCACAGCCACCGGCACGGGCGCCACACCCCGAGGAACCGTCTCCGGGGCGACCAGCACGTCGCGCATGCAGGGGGATCTGCCCCTGGCGGAGGCCTGCGCGCGGATGAGGTCCGCCTGGGGGGAGTGCTGCAGGTGAATGAGCCCCTGGGCGGATGCGAGAGTGAATAGCTCCGCTGCTTCCAGCTGCGCGCATTCTACCCATGCGCCCACCCCTCGCTCCCCCTGCTCCATCCCTTCACTCTCAGCACTCCCGCCACTCCTGCCACTCCCGTCACTTCCGCCCCTCCCGCCTCCCTCCCTGCCTCCCTCCCTGCCTCCCTCCCTGTCTCTCCCCACCCACCAGCCAAACCACCCAGAACTCCTCCTCAGCGCCTCCCGCTCTGCAATCTCCTTCAAAGTGGGTTCCGCGGGGGGCATGGGCGGGGGGAGCGCGTCCCCCCACGCGGGGTTGGGGCGGCAGAGGGCGGAGCGGCGCAGGGTGGCGCGGAGAAGGTGCGGCTGGCGGTAGGGGTGGAAGGTGTGCGCCACAGCCAGCGCCTGCGACGGCCAGAAACCCGCCACTGTAGCGTCGCCTTCGGGCTGCCCGAGAAAAAACCACATGAGGCGGCGGGTGGTGCAGTTGACTGTGTGGTGAGGGTGGCAGCTTGTGCAGAGGGGGTTGAGAGGGTAGAGGGATACAGGTTCTACGTAGACAGCTGTGCTGTGCTGGACACGTGTCAGGTTCTCGTTGGCTATCAGCTCCTGTACGGCTGTGGACGGCTGTAGCAGGCTGTAGCAGCGCTGGATGGAGGTGTGAAGCTGGGAGGAATCGTCCACGTCAGCAAGGGTGCTGATAGATGCATCCATAGGCGGGAGGGAGGAGGAGAGGAAGAATTCGACTTGCAAGGTGCGAGAGGGATGGGCGGCGGGAAGGGGTTGGGAGGAGGAGGGGTTGAACGTGCCAGCCTGCTTTTCCCGTTGCTGCTGCAGCTGCTCTTGAGATATCGGCTGGGGGACTTCCGAATTGAGGGCCTGTTGGGATGCGCCGTCAAGGTGACAACGTGAGGGGGAAGCGGGAGGGGGAATGGGGAAACACGATCAGGAATGGGGAAACACGATCAGGAATGGGGAAACGCGATCAGGAATGGGGAAACACGATCAGGAATGGGGAAACACGATCAGGAATGGGGAAACACGATCAGGAATGGGGAAACACGATCAGGAATGGGGAAACGCGATCAGGAATGGGGAAACACGATCAGGAATGGGGAAACACGATCAGGAATGGGGAAACACGATCAGGAATGGGGAAACACGATCAGGAATGGGGAAACACGATCAGGAATGGGGAAAGAAGCAGCGTGTGGCGAATGGTGAGCTGACGGACAACCATGAAGCACTGAAAGAAGAGCTGACAAATGAAGAGCTGACAAAAGAAGAGCTGACGAAAAAACCCATGCGCGAATAGAAACTCATCCGATGACGCATACTAATCATCTCTTCTTTGAAAGTACCTACCGCAAAGGTATAAAGCGGCGAGTTGAGCCAACTCGGCCGGTGCTGCAGCACGATCGGCTCGTCTGAGGCAGCATCAGAATCATCCGCATCCGCCGGGAACAATGGTGGCGACTCCTGCGCCTGAAACTCGCCCTGCTGGCTGCCGCTTTGCGCGGCGCCGAGCGCGCTCGGGGGAGGCAGAGGGCCCAGCACGTGGCTGAGCGTGGCGTGCGGCATGGCTCGATCCGGCAGCCATAACACGGCCAGCCGCAACGGCCGCTGCTGCTGCGCCGGTGGCTGTGGTTGCCGCTGCTGGGAAGACGCAGCGTTGGTATAGTCCCAGAGAGTATCTGGGACTCTGGCCGGAGTCAGCTTGGACGACAGCAGGTGGTGCAGCGCGTACCCTGCGCACACTGCCTCCAGCCGCTTGTGAAGCGGACCCTGGATTTGCGGGATTGCGGATGAGACGGAAAGAGGCGGAAATGCCGAATCGGCATGAAAATCACCTCGGAGATTGGATGGTTTTTTGGGAATGGAGCGAGAAAAATGCTTGTGAAGTGGCACGTCATTACCAAGGTTGGAAGGATTTTAGGGAATGGAGAGAGGGAACATAACTGCAGACTTGAGGAAAAAAACACCCGGAATTCGGGGTTGTGAATGTGAAACGTTTAATTTAACGGCTTAGAGAAATACCATCTGGATCATTATTGTGATCCGTCATCTTAATACATTTGAATCCTCTTTAGATATTCACTTTAAGACTTGCCTTGGCCCATAAGACGACGTCCGGGTGGGAGACGTTGAGGCTTAGGCTTCTAGCTTCCTCAGTCGCCGCGTCTTCTGCTGCCAGTTCCGCAAAAACCGGTGAAGGATTAGAGAAGATGAGGAATTGCTGGCCGTCGCCAGAGGCTGTCAGGAATGCTTCGCGCGTTAGGGCTATTGCTACAAAACTGACGACAGTGAGCACTGCAAGGAGTTTCGACACGTGTCGCCACGTCGCATTCTTGGAAAACGAAGCTGCCAGTGAAAATGCACACTTTTCGTAACATAATCGCCGGTCAAGACGGACTCTTAAGGCACAGGCTAGATCCTTTTCCATAATCGCCCATGGACATGGGAATCTCATTAGTATGTAATATCATCAGCTTAGCGTACAATGCAACAGTTTCTTTCCTACTAAAGCTTCCAAATCACGTCTGTGCAATGACTTCGTTCGCAATGGCCAACTCCTAACCTCCAACGGAACTTCCTCTGAGGTGCCATTGAACATCCCCTCTCTTCCAAAAATTGCAGATCAAACAACAAGAAGATCCGCCAAGCGAGATGTTCTTGAAGTGAGGTCAGAGCATGCAGCTTGAAAGTCGGTGGGCGATTGTGTTGTGTTTTGTGCCCGCCCATGAATGTAGCAATCACGATAACTGTTGAAGCAGTTGGGTACAATGTTGTGCATTCTGAAGCGGTTTCCTCGTTTCACCGTCTGGAACCGTTTACAACCAGCCTGATTTTTTTTGCATGCATCAGTGTGGGATGTGGATGGGGTGGGAGAGGGGCGGGTCCCCATGGCTTCGGCTCGAGAATCGCGACTCGAGATTCAAGGAAAACCTTGACATTTTAGAAACGGATCAGCCAGCGAATCAACAGTGTTACGATGCAAGGCTGTCATACTGATATTCAGATTACATATTAAAGAATACAGATAGTATCTCAATAAAGAACACCATCATAAGCACTAGGCTAAAAAATCATAAAGATACACTGAGGACCTTATGCAAGGGTGGAAAAAAATTGTTTCACACATTGGCAGCCACCACTGCAAGTGATGCTTTCAATTGATCGTTGGACAGAGGCTTGGTCATAAATCCATTCATCCCAATTTCCCGGCACCTCTTAGGAGCTCCCGCCACAAGATCGGCCGTGATGGCAAATATCGGAACTCGATGCCGACCCACCTGCTCCTCCAGCCGTCGGATTTCGATGGTTGCATCATAGCCGTCCATCACCGGCATCTGCAGAGCAACGAGAATGGTTGTGGAGAGACGAGGGATGGAGGACACAGAAGCTGGGAAATGCTCAAATGAAACACCTAAAAAGCAGTGTTAGTTGGTGGGAGGTGGGAAGTGGAAGTGGGAAGTGGGAGTGGGAATTTTGAAGTGCTAAGGGGAAGTGGGTGTAGGTGGGTGTAGATGGGTAGAAAGCCAGGAGCACACACCTGAAGGTCCATAAAGACGCACACAAACCCGTCCCCTCCACCTCCTTCACCTCCTCCGCCTCCCTCACTCCCCTCACCACCCCCACCCCCTACACCCGCGTCTCCGCCTTCCTTCATCCCCTCTAAAAACTTCTCCACTGCAACACAGCCATTCTCTGCCTGCACGCCCACCATGCCGTACGGCCGTAGCTTCGCCAGCACCACCTTGCGGTTCACCGCGTTGTCATCCACCACAAGTACCCGTCGCCCTTTCAACCGTGCCGTGAGGGTCCTTGGGGAGAGTGGCGGGGCGGGAGCTTGGCTCGGCTCGTCCACCTGCCCTGCTTGGCTCAGCTCGTCCACCTGCCCTGCTTGATTTGAATCCGCGGAGGAGGCCTGCGGTGTTTCGGAGGAGGTTTCGCGCGTGGTTTCGGGGGAGATTTGGCCGCCCTGGTGGTGGTTCCCTGTTTCAGACCCTGGTGTTTTGAGGTCCAGGAGCCCTGGACCCCCCCGCGTCTCCTGCCTTCTTGTCCTCTCTCCCCCCGCGCTGCTACCTCTGTCTTCAGCGGCTCTCCCTGCTTCCTCTCCCACTCGTTGACCCTCCTGCTCCCTCCTCTCCTCCTCCCTCTCATCACACTCTTCTGCTTCATCATAAATGTCATCAACAGCTATTGCAGCTGTAGCAGCAGCAGTAGCAGCAGCAGCAAACTCCTCCTGTACCAGGTCAGTCAAGGACGGTGCTGCTGGCAACGGTACAGCCCGTGTTGCTACAGCCCCAGCCACTGGAACCTTAACTGCTTCGTGTCCAGCTGAGAAATCCGCTGCAGGCACAGCAGTAGCAGCTGCTGCTAGCTCCCTATAGCTCACCGTGGGAGCAGTGATGTGAGCAGGGGGAGAGGCGGCAGGCGAGAAAGAGGAGGCGGCCAAGGATGCAGGGAGGGCAGGGCAATGCGTGCATTCAGGTGAAAGAGCAGGTAGAAGATTCTCATCAGGTGCTGTAGGTGCAACATCAGTAGCTGTGAGAGTGGAAGGTGGAACGCACGCAGAGGAGAAGGGCAAGGAGGAGGGAGAAGAGGACGGGGAAGCGGAAGGAGCAGCAGCAGCAGCAGCAGCAGCAGCAGTGGGGAGAGCAGGGCCCCAGCTATCAGAAGGGGATGGGAACCGGTGCGACTGGGCCTGACTCCTGCTGCTGGCTGTGCTGCCTGGACTGCTCAAGTACCCATCTGAACCCCTCGTGTACCCATCCGTACCCTTCAAGTTGCTTGAACCTGGAAAGGGCTCCATGCCCCCTTGCTCCTCAACCACCACCATATCTGGAAACCGCGCTCTGCTTCCCAACCTCTGCTCCCTCACCCTTCCTTCCCCCTCCTCCCCTGACCGCCCCTCCTCGTCTGCTTCTGCGAACGTCACTCCTCTCGTCCCGCCTCGTCGCCCCGACCAGTCGGCTTCCAGAGTCTTGGCTCGTCTAATCTCCACCTCCTCCCCCCTTTCTGCATCCTCTCCCTCCCCCTCTCCCTCTTCCCCTCTCGCCTTTTCGCTCCCATCCTTCACGAATTCCCTTCCTCCTTCATTCCCCTCCCCTCTTAACGCAATTCCTCCACTCCCCTCTCCTCTCCCACCATCCCCTCCCCACCGTCCACCAATCAGAAGATCCATCTCAGAGGACCAGGAGGAGGGGGTAGCAGCCAACCCACTCCCAGACACCACCTCCCCTCCACCCCACAAGTCTTCCCCAGCTTTACCCTCCCCAGTTGTACCTCCCCCTACACAAACCTCCCTGCTGCTACCAGCAGCACCAGGCATGCCCAGGTGAGAAGCAGAAGGGTACCCTTCCCTCTCCTTTCTCCTCCTCTCCTTCCAACTCTGCAACCCTTTACTGACTGTCCTGCTACCGTTACTATCACCTGTGGCAGCCCTCGTTATACTCACAGTCCTGCTACCGCTGCTCTCATCCGTAGCAGCCCTAGTCAAACCGATACCGCTACTGCCACCTATAGGAGCTTTCGTTTTTATCACAGTCCTGCTACCGCTACTGCCAGATGTAGCCGCTCTTGACATACTGAAACTGCTATCACCCGTTTTACTCACAATCCTGCTAACGTTACTATTATCTGTAGCAGCTCTAGTCACACTCACACCGCCGAAACCACTGCTGCTATCGCCTGCAGCAACCCTTGCTCCGCTACTATCACCCACAACCACCTTCGCTTTACTGACAATGCTGCAGGCAAGGCTGCTGGTGCTGTGACTGCTGCCAATCCGGTACTTGCCCATTCTGCTAAACTTACCACCCCCAGAACGCTGGCTGCTGCTGGTGTTGCTTGTGCTGCTGGTGTTGCTTGTGCTGGTGCTTCCACCCACCACACCGCTCCCTTGAGCCAACCCCCTGCCACCAGTGGAACTACTGCTGGTGTAGCCGCTGTCACCGCTCACATACCCAGCGTCACCGCTGACATAACCACCAGCACCACTGGCGTAACCGCTATCACCGCTCACGTACCCCACATCCTCTCTTGTTTCAGCAGCAGCAACAGCAGCAGCAACAGCAGCAGTAGCCAGTAGATTCGAACCAGCACTCCTGTCAGGAGAAACAAGGCCCTGACCATGGGCACTAGAACGTGCACCAGGCCCCTCTCCCTCACTTACACACCCCACAGCCCCAAGAGCCTGGTTACCAGACTGGTTACCAGGTTGGTTAGCAGGCTGGTTACCAGGCTGGTTACCAGCACCACTGTACCACGCCAGGTTTTGCGGAGACTGGTTACCAGGCTGGTTACCAACATAATCACTATCAGCCACATGTTGCCCTGCTGGTTCCTCTGCCTGTGCTGCTGCTGCTGATGCAGAGGCAGCAAAAAATCTGGTACCAGCAGCAGGAGGAGCATCCCCAGCATTACCACTAACACCAGCATCACCGCCAGCACCAGAGTTGGCAGCAATAGCAGAATAGTCCCCAGCACCACTGGTCTTATCAGTGGTGATACCAGTAGGAGACCCAGCCACAACTGCTGCTGCTGCTGCAGCAGAGGCTCTCTTGCCCGACTCCCCCCACCGAGCAGGAGTCAAGGATCGGAACACCGCCCGAACCTGCTGCTCCACCCTCTGCCGAACCGGGGACGGAAGCCTCGGGAGTACAGACGCTCCTGCCGAACCTGATGCTGCTGCTGCCGCTGCTTCTGCTGCTCCTGCCGCACCTGATGCTTCAGACGCTGCAGTTGCTTCTGATAAGGCTGCCACGGCTGTTGCCGAAGAAGTTGCTGCTGAAGCTGCCACCTCCAGACCTCCCAGGCCGATTCCAAACCTAGCTTCTGGGGTCCGAGCCTCTCCTCTGGCTCCTTGCCTCTGGTCTAGCCTCGGACTGACCAAAGGTCTGATAAACGGCCGTGAGAGGCTTGGAATCGCGCCCACCGAGCCTGAGAACTGGCTCGGAAGGACCTGCTCCCTCATCCCCCGCAGATTCGCTTGCTCCTGCTGCCTCTCCCCCTCCTGCTGCCTCTCCCCCTCCTGCTGCCTCTCCCCCTCCTGCTGCCTCTCCCCCTCCTGCTGCCTCTCCCCCTCCTGCTGCCTCTCCCCCTCCTGCTGCCTCTCCCCCTCCTGCTGCCTCTCCCCCTCCTGCTGCCTCTCCCCCTCCTGTTGTCTCCCTCCCTCCTGCTGCCTCCCTCCCTCCTCCTGCATCTGTCCCTCCTGTGCCGGCCAAGCCTCCTCAGAGCTCTCAGAGCTGCTCCTAGCAGCGCCAACCAGCAACTTCGTTGCCCCCTCCTCCCCAATCCTCCCTCTCCTCTCTATTTCTGGTCTCAGCACTCCCGCCTCCCCTCCTCTCACTGCGATAACGGGAGGATCATTCGCCCTTGCTCCTGCTGCTACCGCAGCAATGGTCGCTGCTGCAGCAGAGGGGCTAGCCGAAGGAGGGATGGAAACGAGGCGTGGGGACGAGAGCGCGAGGGAGGATGAGGAGGAGGAGGTGGAAAGAGAACCGGGAGTGAGAGAGGAGGGGAGAGGGGAGGCAGGGATGGGATGGGGGAGGAGGGAATAGGTGGAAGGAGTGAGAGGAGTGGTGGGAAGGTGGGTGGGAGGGAAGGAGGGGACTGGCAGTGGGAGCTTGTGTGATGCCAGAGGAGAAGAAGGGGGTATTGTGACGGTCGTGAAGCTTCCAGGAAACGATGGGACGAGGAGGGTGGGGTTCTGTGAAGGACGGGAAGGGGCGAGTGAGGAGGTGGAGAGGGAAAGCGAGGAAGGGGTGGAGGCAGAGGAGGAGGTTCCCAGAGGGCTTAGGTCATTCTGGTTCCTGTCCAGATTCACTGCACCTGAACCGTTTGCCTGCTGGTTGTCCACATTCACCTGCTGGGCGTCAGTCACAGCAAGGGGCGGCACAGGGTCAAGAGCAGTGGCAGCTGAGCAGGCCCCATCAGCAGCAGCGCCAGAAGACCAATCAGCAGCCACAGCTCCATCGATTATCCCTGCGGCTGCTGCTGGTGCTGCTGCTGATGGTGCTGCCGCTGCTGCTGCTTGTGCTGCTGCTGCTGCTGCTGGTGCTGCTGCTTGTGCTGCTGCTGCTGCTGCTGCCGCCACCGCTGCTGCTTCAGCAGCCTTGTCCGCTCTTGCCCCTGCAGGTCTCTGGTAGCTTTTCCTTCTAGACCATACCCTAGACATTCTCCTCTGCTTCCCACTCACACCCTCCCTCTCTCCTTCCTTCAGTACTTCTCCCCCTTTCTCCTTCTCCCCTTCCTTCTCCCTCTCTCTCTCTTTCCCTCCCTCAGCAAGCCTCCCTTTCTCTCTCTCCACCGCTCTCCGCCCCAGATCCTCTCGTCTGCCCGAAAACGTCCGGCTGATCCTGCCCGAAACCCTCACAGCCGCAGGGAACAAGAGGAAACTTTTGCCGCCACTGCCCGAGCGAGAAACAGGAACACCACCCTTGCTGGCGTCACCACCAGGACTGCTGACGTGGGCCTGAGTCACACCAGCGCGATTGCCATTCAGAGTGTTACTGTTCCTCCTCCCACTGTTACCGTTACCGCCGACGTTACGGTTACTGATACTGTAGCTGTTACTGTTACCAGTCGCACCGCTGTTACCGCTCAGGTGGGAACTGCTCCCAGCAGTGGAGAGCGCGGTAGATATACCTACCTCAGAATAGACAAACTTTGCCAGCCAGTCAGTGAGCGTCCAGCAGGAGAGCAGCGCAGTGTCGATTGCGTCTCTCTGATCCTGATCCAGCTCGCACTCTTCGACTAATAGCTGCAGCATGCCTGATGAAGGGAAGGAACACGGGGAAGGGGGACAGGGAAAGAGCAGAAGGTGGGTGCCAGAGAAAGGAAAGGGAGAGCAGCGCAGAGTCGATCGCATCCCTCTGATCCTGGTCTAGCTAGCTCACACTCTTCGACTAACGGTTGCAACATGCCTGTTGGGGGCCGAGAACGAGTAGGGCGACATAAGGGGGTGAGCAAGGGAAGAGCAGCGTAGCGTCGATCGCATCCCTCTGATCCTGGTCTAGCTAGCTCACACTCCTCCACCAACAGTTGCAGCATGCCTGTTCGAGGGAAGGGGGACAGGGAAAAGAAATGGAGAGCAGCGCAGGTTGGTGTGGGTGGGAGGGAAGGAAATGGAGAGCAGCACAGTGTTGATTGCGTCTCTCTGGTCCTAATCCAGGTCGCACTCCTCCACCAACATTTGCAGCATGCCTGTTGGGGAAGAAACATGCAAGGGGACAAGGGGGAGCAAGAGGTTGATGTGGGTGGGAAGGAAAAGGGAGTGGCGCCTGTACTAGTGTTGATTGTGTCTCTGTGATCCTGCTCGCACTCTTCCACCAGCAGATGCAGCATGCCTGATCTGGGGGGAGGGGGATGGGGGGAAGAGCAGGAGGTTGGTGTGGAAGGAAGGAAGGGAGAGCAGCGGACTCACCCCTACTCCCACACACGCTGCGCACTCACCTATAATCCTGTTGATTGGGGTGCGAATCTTGTGAAAAATGCACCCTCTCTCGACTCCTCTGTACTCCTTGGCGCGGCTTGTCCCCTCTCTCTACTCCCACACACGCTGCGCACTCACCTATAATCCCGTTGATTGGGGTGCGAATCTCATGCGAGATGCATCCGAGAAATTCCTTCTTGGCCCGGACTGCCCCCTCCTGCGTGGCCCTGGCAGCAGCCAGCTCCGTGAGGTGCTTCTCCGTCTGACCTTCCATTCGCTCCGCCACCTCCCACATGGCCCACAGGCAGCACGTCACCAGGGCGATTGCGAATAGCAGGCCGCCACACACCACAGACACCTGCAAAAGAGAGAATCAGAGAGTTAAAATATGAGACCAACAATCACTTTCACTTCCATGCGCTCTGCCACCTCCCACATGGCCCACAGGCAGCACGTCACGAGGGTGATTGCGAACAATAGCCCCCCCGCACACGACGGAGACCTGCAAGCAGAGTATAAGACAAACCAAACATGCGATCATCAGACATTTCTAGCAGGTAGCAGTGTAGGAGGAGACGGTTTAGCATGTGAAAAAAACAGTGAAAGAGCGCTAGGTAAGGATGAAGGGTGATTCTAAATAGCAAGTCCCCCCCCCTCAGACCACGTTTACCTGCAAGCCAAACCCAAACTGCACTCGCTGTTGCTGCCGTTGCTGCTGTTGGTACTGCTGCTGCTGGTACTGGTGGTGCTGCTGGTGGTGCTGATAAGAATACAGCGGCTGCAGCAGCGGGTGACTCTCCTGCGCCCAGAACTCCAGAGCACCTCCATCTCCCACTCCAGCCGCCATTCCCCCTGCGCCTCCCCCTGCGCCTCCCCCTGCCGCCGCCCCTGCCTCCGCCCCCGCCTCCGGACCCCCTCCCATGGCGAGAATTCCGATGAGAAGCACAATGGCAATGAGAGCAAGTCCAGCCAGCAGGCACCACAGGCAGATCACCAACTGTCGCCAGTGGGAGAGCGGCGGCGGGGTGGACGGCGGGTAGGCGTCCTTGTGACCGTTACTGCTGGTGCTGGTGGTGAGGGCGCTGCTGCTGTTGCTGTCATTATGCTTTGCCCTGTGCTTCCTGCTGTGCTGCTGGCTCGCGTGCTGAAGGGAATGACGCTGGCTGTGCTGCTGGCTGTGCTGCTGGCTGTGCTGCTTGCTTAACCGCTGAGTGTACCTTGGCCCACTGACTGCACCATGCTCCAATACCTGACTGTCCACCCCTTTCTCCATCGCACCTCCCCTCCCACTCCGCTGCCCCTCATAGACCAGTGACACACCCCCTGCTGCTGCATCCTCCCACTCCCCATTCCACTCCGCCACCTCTTTTCTTAACCGGTCTGCCCTGCTGCTTGTCCTCTTTACAGGCGCACCCAGCTCGGTATAGTCACCTGAGACTGTATGCGGAAATGGATGAGCAGGTTCGGCAACTCTGGCTGCTGCGGCTGAAGCTGCCTCGTTGACAGGTTCTGGAGAATCTTTCAAAGGTTCGTTCGGTGCAGCAGCAGCGGTGGTGGTGGTGGCACCAGCAGCAGCAGCGAGAATGGGTAAGGCAGAAGAAAGTGCCACGTCAGCAGGAGAAGGGGCCCCACCAACAGCTTCTCCTGCCAGTGCACCGCCCAAAGTCGCCAGGTGGCCAATACTGCCGACAAACACCGACTCATCGAGCGCTGACCTGTCACTCGGCGTCAGCGATCCCATGCGTGAGTCAGCACGTGCCAGGCCCAGGCTGGCACGACTCAGCGTTGTTGCCCCTTGCCCTCCTAGCCCTCCTTGCGCACTCCCAAACCCGAGACGAAAGGCAAGACCTTCTGCCTCCCACACCCCTCTTTCCTCCTCTCCTCCTCCCTCCTCATCCCTGTTCATCCCCTGGCCCGTCCACCGCTCTCCACCGCTCTGCACCGAGCTGCTAAGCTGCCGCTGCACATGCTGCTGGTACTGGTGGTGCTGCCTCGGGTCTAGTAGATGGCTCCTCAGCCCCCCGCCTCCTCCTCCGCCTCCCGCCCCACCTCCTGCTCCCCCTGCCGCCCACACCATGCTGCACCTTCGTCTGGGTCGCACACTGAACCCCTCACATGGCCGCCCGGAAATAGACGGCCGCCCGGAAATGGATTGCCGCCCGGAGATGGATGGCCGCCCGGAAATGGATGGCCGCCCGGAAATAGACGGCCGCCCGGAAATGGATGGCCGCCCGGAAATAGATGGCCGCCCGGAAATAGATGGTCTTCCTGTCACGTTGCTGCGACCGGTGATCACACGCCCAGTGGTGGTGGTAACCAGGTTACCACTACGGCTAAACACAGGGTTGCCAGCGTGGGTTGTAACAGGGTTACCAGCTGGAGCAGTGACACTGGGTGGACTTGTGACAGGGGGCTGATTACCACCTGAACTACCACCTGAATTTTCACCTGCAATTTCACCTGAGTTACCACCTGTGTTACCAGCATGAGGTGTAACCACAGGGGTTCCTCTCCCAGTGCTCTCCCGACTAAGAGGACTTGCCCTAATTGTGCTGCTTCTGTTACCACTGCCAGTAAGGGGTTGGGTCAAGCCCCTGCTAGTACCGGGTCGACCCAAGCTGTTGCTAGATCGGCCCGTTATGCTCACCCTCCCCGTAACACCAACCCTCCTCCCGGGATGGCTCATTCGCATGCTCATTCGCCCCGGACCAGCGCCTTTGGTTACCGCATTCAACCGCCCAGTTACCCCATCTGTAACACCTGCTCGAGGAGTCTGGATGCTAGTCAATTCACTGGGCAAATGCTTGCTGCTGCTGTCGGTGGTGGTGGTAGTGGTGGGGTTGAAAGGGGTGGGGATGGATAACAATGCCTTCTCAAAGGTGCTTGGATCGTACGGGCTGCTGCTGTCGCTTATTGTGAGCTCATCTTGGACCAGGTCTATAAGGGGTACAGGGTGTAGCAAGTCGTCCTCGCCTGTTGCTGCTGCTGTTGCTGTTGCTGCTGCTGCCTTCAAGTGGTCCACACTTGAAACTGAAATGTATCTCACAGCAGAAGCACAAGCGGCACCCCCAGCTCCAGCAGCAGCAGCATAAAGGGAAGATGATGCAGCAACAGCATCAGTGCCACCCGAGCATGCCATGTCATCCGCTGACGTGGCTTCCACACCAGCAGCTACACGTAATGACTCATTGCCCTCAGCACCAGCAGCATCACCAGCACCAGCAGCACAATCCAACCGAATCTCAGGCTGAGCCTCTGATTGGTGCAGCAGCAGGGGAGGCATCGGAGCATCCCATTGGCCGGACGAAATCTGGTCGGCAAGGAACGTCACAGCTCTGGACGCCAGGCCGGTAGCTATAGCCTCTGAGAGCGCGTCTAGATACGCCTCGGAGCGACACACAAAGGCGCTGCTGTCTCTGCGGTGGCTTCTGCGCCCCGTGATTGCAATCGCGCCCACGTCGCTGAAGCTCGAGTATTTCTCCACGCTGGTTAACAGAGCGCCATCGCCCCTCTCATAACTGCCAACAGCGGATCTGGTGCTGTCACCACCACAAGCAGTAACGCCAGCAGCAGCAGCAGAATCATCATCATCACCAGCAGCAGCAGCAGCAGCAGCAGCCGCAGCAGCAGCAGCAGGGTCACACAGGCCATGTGGAGCGCTTGCAAGGTCTTGAGCCGCGCCCCACATGCGGAAGGTGGTTACCACCCCATGGTTACATCCACTGTGATTCCCATGCCCGAACATGCCGGTTTCCACTCGAGCCATGGCTTCTCCCGCTAACCTCCACTCCTCGTCCCTTTCCTCCCCCTTTCCCTTCGCCTTTCCCTCCCTCGCGCGCCTCCCTCTTCCCCTCCGCCTCCTGCCACTGCTCCTCCTGCTGCTGCTGCTGCTGCTGCTATTCCCTCCCTTCCTGCTGCTGCTGTCGCTGCTCTCTTGTAATTCTTTGCTGCCCGTTTTCCCGCTTCCCGCTGCCACGTCATCACACCACGCGCTCGCTGTCGAAGCCACCTGGCACCTTCCTCCAAAAGTGGCGCGCCTTACAAGGGCTCTCCCTTGCGATGCGGCGTCCGCTCCCCCCGCCTTCCCCGCTGCCCGCGCATCTCTTGCCTTGTGAACGCGCGTGCGCATCCATTGCCCCACGCTCTTGTAATCTTCCGCTTCCGCGCCTGACTTACCCTCGCCTTTCCCGCTGCCTGCGCGCGCGACCCCCCTGCTTTCCTTGCAGCTCCCCCCCCTGCTCTCCCCCGCGTCCTTCCCCGTCCCCCAACCAACCGTCCGTCTTGCCCACCCGGGGCTGGGCGGCCGGCGGACATCGCGCTCCTGCTCGCGTTCCGCGTGAGCCTTCGTTGCCCCCCTATCGCCGCGCGCCTCCCCGCGTAAGATCCCGCTACCTAATCTCATGACGTCTCCTAATTTCTTGCTATCGTACACTCCGCCGACGGCGGACGTCGTTAAGCTTCGCTGCCTCGGCCCCCGCGGCGTCGCGGCTGCTGAGTCCGAGTCCGCAACCCCCGCCGTGAAAACCGCCAAATTCTCCGAGCTACTGCTCCCAGTCGTCGACCGCCCCATTAGATTCGCGGTCGCCGCCGCCGCTTGTCGAAGCGCGCGCTGCTCCTTCCTCTGGCGCCGCCGCTCCCGCACTTGATGCAAATCCACGCTTTCAAGAGTTACCTCCCCCACGCTCTCGAGACCCCTAGTGGCTCGCGCTACGCCCCCTAATTCCCGCCAATTGGACGTCGAGGGCGGCTCGTTGGGCGAATCAGCAGCCGCGCGTGACCTCGGAACGGGATTGCCGGACGCATCGACGCGAGAGGGCGTGCATGACGCAAGGCTTGATTCAAAGAGACCTACGCCGTTGAATCCGCTACTCATGGTGCTGCAATCAACGGCTGTCTCGCCCCGTCTATCGCGTGAGTTGCTATAGTCAAGGTGCTGCTGCTCCTGTTGCTGCTGCTTCTGCCATAGCTGCTGTTTCTGCTGCTGTTGCTGCTGCCGTTGGCCATCCGTGGAAACAATCGCAGTGGTAGCGAATGACACATGGTGTCCCTCCCGTCTCTCGCGTGCTTCCGCCTCCCGCCCCTCACGTGCTCCGCCCTCCCGCCCCTCCGCAGAAGAAGAGTCGCGATTGAGGGCCTTGCGGGGAGACAGGCGCGGAGCCACCAACTTCCATAGCCACCTCGCAGGCATGGCGCTTAGGGAATGGCGCCTCGGATGGGGCTTAGGGAATGGCGTAGGAAAGGCCCTCTCGCTTAAGGACTGCCTGCCCGAATCACGTGAGACGGACAGAACGAGACAAACAGAAAGACAGACAGGTCCAAAACGAGAGAGTGGCTAACGGCAGTCAGGCTTCTAGTCCTTGCCGTGCTGCTGGCTGCTTCTAGTGCCTGCCTGCTGCTTCGAGCAGCTTCCCGCTCTTCGACTCCCGCCTGCCGCTTTCTGCAGGGAGCAACCAGTTGGACGCCCGTTTGTTAAAGGCTGTACAGCTGGCACGGGGCGTGCAAACAAGAGAATTGAGGACCGTTAAAAAGCGTGTGCGTCACGGAACTAGAGAACAGGAAGGCGTGTTCGAGAAGCAACTTCTGGGCTGGACTGCAGGGCCGAGGCGGGAAACTTCCGCCTTGAAATGGTGGCTGTTATTGCGTCAATTAATGGACGGGCGGGAGGGGAAGAATTAAATGTGACGTGTCAAGCATGCGGAAAGAAGGACGCTTCGGAAAAAGAAAGGACGTAGCGCGGAGTAAGATTCTTGACGACGCAGTTGATGCGGAAGAGCCGGACGAGTGGCCGGTATGTGTGGCCCTTGATATAGGGAGGAGCTAGCTGCGGTCGCTGAGATTCGAGCACACAATCAGACTGACGTGGAGTCTAAGCCTGCCCCGCTGTCCTTCACATGCAGCTGCAGAGCGACCGAGCATGCCGCTGACTACAGCACAGTGAGATCGCACGGAGTCAGATTCGGGGGATCTGAGGGACAAAAGGCGGAGGGCATGAGCTACGCTTCCGAATACGCTCGCTTCGATACTCGCTTTAGGGCCGGACCTGGTACCGTACGAAGTCTCGCCATGCCTACGAATCGCAGTCATTACAATCGCCGCAAGAAATGTGAACAATTGTGGTGGAACTCTCCTTCGGTAACTTCTGCCTTGAAGACCTTGTTCATCCCATAACTCCCCCTTGGTTCTGTCTTACAATCCGTTTATCGTTTATCCGTTTATCAAGAGGGGAATCTTGAGGCTGAAGGGAAGCCTCGAGATGAGACGAGACGAATGGAGGTGTGACTGGGAGACAGGAGCTTCCACTTCAGCAGCCGCGTTCTCCCTTCTTGGCCTCGCTGGGGTTACTCCGTGTAATTTTAAATCTGTGAAGTAATTCGCAGACCACATACCGACGCCAATTACATTCGCCAAGGTTGTCTACCAGTCGCAGACCAGGCAAGGATGAGGGGCTGCTTTCGCAAAAAACAGTTGTCGCTGCTGACCACAAGAATGTTACTGGGAAGGAGGCAAACACGATGCCTGACCGACCAAATGACACGCATGGTGCGGCAAGACATTTTTTGGCATTGACAGCTGACCAGTCATGAACGCCGCCTTGCACAGTGCATGTATGTACGAATGGATGTCGTCGCGTTGCGAACATACGCCATGACAGAAGGCAGCGCTAATGTAAGTTAGAACCCCATGTGCAATCAAAATCAGGGTTTCGATATTGAATTGGAATGAAGCACAGAGAAAGGTTTGGTGAAGGATTAAAATATACAGTTCATACAGTAAATATATGACTACAATTATTTGTGAGCTTCCATTCACAATGAATGCTGGCATTTCCAGTTCCAACCTGAAATATCTGTTCTGCCAGAAACTTCACCGGATGGTGTGAAATAACATATGCAATAGTGCAATAAGCACTTAATCTGTAAGAGGAAGAATTGTAGGAGGAAGTGTACTGGCCGCGACAGCAAAAAAGTCGCTCGTCAGATCACTTCCGGCCCGTCAACCTCCCGCGGAATGGGCGGGTGGGACGTTCATCGAGACTGCCAGTACGCCTTACGGCACACTTGACAGTCAGTATTCGCGCTCTGGGCCGGAAGTCCACGCTCATCATCCGAGTGGATGACTAGGGCCGTTGTACAGAGGTACAACGAATTGTACGAACTATAGAACAGATCCTGTTCAAGTATAGTCGTGCTGTTCGGAGCAGAAATTCCAAACTATAATCTGTCGTGCTAACCATTTAAGTGAGAAGTGAGCATTTTTTGGCGACGTGGCCGCTTCAAAGTGTGCCACGCCTCTCCAGAAACACTTTTCTGAAGGTGCGTGAACGTGCTTCCCTGCACCCATCACCTTGACTGGGCCGACCGACGCACCATAGAAATCCAACTGTCGCCATTGTGAAAGTGAATGTGCGCATTGCTAGTGCGCTCCACAATTTCGATACACCAGGAACTAACTCTTGCTGTTTATCTTCCTGTTGAGCCAGCCATGGCGTCCCTAGGCGGCGCGTGTACTCAGCTTAGACTTCCTGTTCCCGTGTCGCGTGGGCTCACAGACTATCGACCAGTGGTCTACTCGTCTGCAGCACCTTCACTGTCTACTTCGAGCGGCGAATTCTCCCGCAATGGGTCCATATTCTCTCAATTGCACTCGTCTCTCACTGTAAACCGCCTTAATGCAAGGCGTTTCTCGCTCAAATCCAGACGGATAGATCTTAGGCCAGTGAATTACCGGCAGGCCGTCAAAGTGACGGCTACGGGGTTATCCGGTGAGAACGGCAACGCGAACGGCTCGTTACCGACGGACGCGGAGGGAGCAGCGACGTTGTCGGAATCGCGGAACGAATTGGGCGGCTCGGGAGAAGGCGGCTCGGGAGAAGGCGGCTCGAAGGCGTCCGTGAATCCGTTGCCAGGAGTGAGCGCGGAAAGCGGCGGCAGTGACGGCAGGAAGGTGGTGGTGATCGGCGCGGGGTGGGCTGGCCTCGGCGCCGCGCACCACCTCACGAAGCAGGTGCGCCGCTCTGTCAAATTAGTTGCCGAATTTCACGAAACAACGCCCCGAGTGGAGACTTTGGGATGTGAATCGAAGACGGTATTCCGTAGCTTCAAGCATATTCGTCATTGTCGCCACGGTCACTCGTGAGTAGGATTGAAGTAAACTTAGCTATCAGCGCAATTTGCGGCGTGAATTCTGTCCCCCGTGCTGACGAGGCACGGCGATGACCTGGCAGGGGTACGACGTGACGTTGCTGGAGGCGGGGCGGCAGCCGGGCGGGCTGGTGGCGGGTTGGCGGAGCGACAAGGGGAAGCCCGTGGAGGTGGGCATTCACGGTGCGTGTGGTGAAGTGCGGTGAAGTGCGCTGAGGGGTGATATACATGGTTGGGGATGGGTGCAGACGGGTGGAGAGGGGTGGAGACGGATCAGGGGACAATGCTTGGTGGGGTGTGTGACTCATGCAGTGATAGCGGTTCATGAGGGAATGGGATCCGGTGAAGGTGGGAATTCACGGTGGGTGATGGGGAGAAGGGATGTATGGGGATGGACGAGGAGACGAACTGGTGTGGTGTGGTGTGGTGTGTCTTTGATAAACTGGTTGCAGTTCATGGCAGAAAGGGCAGCCGGTGGAGGCTGGGGAGTCATGGTGCGGGCACTCTGTCAACTCTTCCCCCTGCCCCCCACCAGGCTTCTGGTACCCCTATAAAAACATCTTGGCTACAACGGACGAGCTGGGGCTGAAGCCCTTCACTGATACTTGCAAAGTACCATACAATC